GCAACCAAAGCGAAGACCACCGTTACGGCTGGAGACAACGTTGTAGTAACTGCTGGTACCAATGCAGATGGTTCAAGTAACTATCAAGTTGCGACAGCGAAAGACGTAAACTTCGACAAAGTGACTGTAGGTACAGTGGTTGTTGATAAAACAAGTAATACGATCAAAGGTCTAAGCAATACGACTTGGAACGGTACAGCAGTCACAGGTCAAGCAGCGACAGAAGACCAATTACAAGCAGTTGATAGCAAGCTTGGTAATTTAGATGGTGCAGCGGTTAAATATGACGACGCAGCAACTAAAGACAAAATCACTTTAGCGGGTACAGGTGGAACCACGATCACCAACGTTAAAGCGGGTGCTGTTAACTCAACATCAACAGATGCAATCAACGGTAGCCAATTACACGGTGTTGCTGATAGCGTTAAAAATGTGATTGGTGGATCAACTACAATTGATGCAACAACAGGTGCAATCACCACCAATAATATTGGTGGCACAGGTTCCAACACAATTGATGGCGCGATCAATAGCGTTAAAGATTCAGCAACCAAAGCGAAGACCACCGTTACGGCTGGAGACAACGTTGTAGTAACTGCTGGTACCAATGCAGATGGTTCAAGTAACTATCAAGTTGCGACAGCGAAAGACGTAAACTTCGACAAAGTGACTGTAGGTACAGTGGTTGTTGATAAAACAAGTAATACGATCAAAGGTCTAAGCAATACGACTTGGAACGGTACAGCAGTCACAGGTCAAGCAGCGACAGAAGACCAATTACAAGCAGTTGATAGCAAGCTTGGTAATTTAGATGGTGCAGCGGTTAAATATGACGACGCAGCAACTAAAGACAAAATCACTTTAGCGGGTACAGGTGGAACCACGATCACCAACGTTAAAGCGGGTGCTATTAACTCAACATCAACAGATGCAATCAACGGTAGCCAATTACACGGTGTTGCTGATAGCGTTAAAAATGTGATTGGTGGATCAACTACAATTGATGCAACAACAGGTGCAATCACCACCAATAATATTGGTGGCACAGGTTCCAACACAATTGATGGCGCGATCAACAGCGTTAAAGATTCAGCAACCAAAGCGAAGACCACCGTTACGGCTGGAGACAACGTTGTAGTAACTGCTGGTACCAATGCAGATGGTTCAAGTAACTATCAAGTTGCAACAGCGAAAGACGTAAGCTTCGACAAAGTGACTGTAGGTAATGTTGTTGTAAATAAAGCCAGCAATACAATCGAAGGTTTAAGTAATACTGACTTAAGAGCAAGTGATTTTGCAACTAAAGGTAGAGCAGCGACTGAAGAGCAATTGAAGCAAGCTGTGACGAAGAACATCACTGAAGTTGTAGATGGTAATGGCAACAAAGTGAATATTATTGACCAAGTTGTAAATACAAAACCTGACAATAAGAACCAAGATTCATTGTTCTTAACTTATGATAAGCAAGGTCAAGAAACCACAGATCGCTTGACGATTGGTCAAACAGTACAGAAGATGAATACAGATGGTATTAAGTTCTTCCATACCAATGCCGATATGTCGAAAGGTGATTTAGGAACAACGAATGACTCAAGTGCGGGTGGTTTAAACTCTACAGCGATTGGTGTAAATGCAATTGTTGCGAGTGGCGCGGATAGTTCAGTTGCTTTAGGTCATAACACGAAAGCAAATGGCAAAGAGTCAATTGCAATTGGTTATGGTGCTGAAGCATTAGGTACACAATCAATTAGTATCGGTACTGGTAACAAAGTGAAAGGTAATCATTCTGGCGCCATTGGTGACCCGACCATTGTTGATGGTGCGAACAGTTATTCTGTGGGTAATAATAACCAAGTGCTTACAGATGATACGTTTGTACTTGGAAACAATGTGACCAAAACAGTTGCTGGTTCAGTTGTGTTAGGTAATGGCTCAGCGGCGATGACTGGTGCAGGTGTTACAGGTTATGCGTTGCCAGTTGCAACAAGTGCAGACAAAACAGCAATTAGCAATACAACATCAACAACTGGTGCAGTAGCAGTTGGTGATGCGGCAAGTGGCATTTATCGTCAAATTACTGGTGTTGCAGCGGGTAGCGCAGATGCAGATGCTGTAAACGTAGCGCAGTTAAAAGCAGTTGGAAACCAAGTTGTTACTACTCAAAACGCACTTGTAAATGGTTTGGGCGGTAATGCGAAGGTCAATGCTGACGGCACCATTACTGGACCAACTTATAATGTTGCACAAGGTAATCAGTCGAATGTTGGTGATGCATTAACAGCATTGGATAAAGCCATTGGTTCTGCAGCAACAACATCTAAAACGACTGTTTCTAATGGTCAGAATATTGTTGTGAATAAGAGCAAAAATGCTGATGGTTCAGACAACTATGAAGTATCAACAGCAAAAGATTTAACAGTTGACTCTGTGAAAGCAGGTGATACGGTTCTCAATAATACTGGAATCTCAATTGGTAATAATGCGGTTGTGATAAACAACACAGGATTAACCATTGCGGGTGGACCAAGTGTAACGGTGGCAGGTATTAACGCGGGTAATAAAACAATTACCAACGTGGCAAATGCTGTTAACGCTACAGATGCAGTCAATAAAGGGCAGTTAGATAGCGCAATTGGCACTGTGAATAACAATGTCAATGAGCTTGCTAATAATGCCGTTAAATATGACGATGCATCAAAAGATAAGATCACACTCGGTGGTGGTGCAAATGGCACAACCATTAGTAATGTAAAAGATGGTGCAGTTACTCAAGGTTCTAAAGATGCTGTAAATGGCGGTCAATTATGGAATGTTCAGCAACAAGTTGATCAAAACTCAACGGATATCAGCAATATCAAAAATGATATTAACAATGGTACTGTCGGCTTAGTTCAACAAGCAGGTAAGGATGCAACAGTTACGGTTGCGAAAGATACTGGTGGTACCAGTGTGAGTGTGGCGGGTAAAGATGGTAACCGTGTTGTGACAGGTGTTAAAGATGGGGCAGTGAATGCAACATCAAAAGATGCAGTCAACGGTAGTCAATTGAATACGACCAACCAAGCAGTTGTTAATTATCTTGGCGGTGGTGCTGGCTATGACAATATTACGGGTAGCTTCACTGCCCCAACTTACAATGTAGGTGACTCTAAGTATAACAATGTCGGTGGTGCAATCGATGCATTGAACCAAGCGGATCAAACATTGAATAGCAAAATTGACAATGTCAGCAACAAGTTAGACAACGCTTTCCGTATTACCAATAACCGGATTGATGATGTTGAGAAAAAAGCCAATGCGGGTATTGCAGCAGCAATGGCACTTGAATCAGCACCATATATTCCTGGTAAATATACCTATGCTGCTGGTGCGGCATACCATGGTGGTGAGAATGCGGTAGGTGTGACCTTACGTAAAACTGCAGACAATGGACGTTGGTCGATTACAGGTGGTGTTGCGGCAGCATCTCAAGGCGACCCAAGTGTTCGTATTGGTATCAGTGGTGTAATTGACTAAATCACGAGACGAGGAAGATCGAACGGTCTTCCTTTTTCTTCGCAAATTTTTAAGAGAGAAAAAATGAAAGCATTTAACAAAAAAATTATGTTCAGTGTATTCAGTGGTCTTGTGACGTCATTGAGTCATGCAGCTGAAGTTGAAACATCAAATACCCAAGAAATTCATTTTCCTGAAGTGAAAGACAGTTATTTAAAGCAAGTGAATCGTTATGAATATGATGATGTGGCACGTTTAGATAAAGGTTTAAGCAAAGATCAGATTCGCCATGTTTTGGGGAATCCACAATTTTCTGAAGGCCTTTTTGCTGTTAAAACTTGGAACTACGTATTGGATGTTCGAGAGCCGAGTTCAAATCAATATAAACGTTGCCAGTTACGCATAGACTTTGATAAGCACTACCGTTCAGAAAATCTATATTGGAAAGGTGAACAATGCCAAGGTCTGATGGCTTGGGGTATCAATAACCAATCCGCGACAGAACAAACGGCTCTATCCGCTACAGGTCAATCAGCCAGTGTTTTATTCTATTTTGATCATTCAGGTAAAAGTGGGGTAAAAAATCCTGAAGTGATTAGCAAAATTGCTGATCAAATTAAGCAAACTGATGGGAATAGCAAAATTTTTGTTGCTGGTTATACCGACCGTTTAGGTTCATTTCCGTATAACCAACGTTTATCAGCAGCGAGAGCCAATACCGTTGTAAATTTGTTGAAACAACAGGGAATTCCTGCGGATCAAATTCAATTTTCAGCAGAAAATAAAACGGATGTGTATCAGAAATGCAATGGAATGAACAAAAAAATTCAATTGGTCGAGTGTTTAGCGCCTAATCGCCGAGTAAACATTACTTGGTAAAACTGAATGCATAATCAAATAAATTCAGTTTAAAAGAAGGTGCTTATACCTCAAATCGGTTGAGCCTTATTGCATGCAAACGCCCGATGAAATTCATCGGGCGTTTTAAATTATTTACTGTTCTGGTTTATTTTGAATAAATCATACATCACCAAATAATATTGATTACCGAGTTAACCCAGCAGAAACATCAGCACCAAAACATTTTGATTAAACAGAAATAATCTGTGCAAAATGAATGAACGGGCTTTTTTTGAGGCCTTTTATAAAATAAAATTTAGTGAATTTTGTTAAATGATAAATATTTTTTATTAAAAAATAAAAAATTATTCATAGAAGTTTTGTGTCTTATCCAACACGATAGCGTTATATTAAATTCTAATGTTTTATTTATCTATAAAGCTTGTTGGAATATCAATAGACACGTCTTGTTTAAAAAAAGATCATGCTCAAGATCATTGGTTATATGCTAAGTTATAGTATGATGTGTTCATATTTCGACTGATTTATTGCTATATCATCAGTTTTATTTAGCCAGAGTGAATTGATATTCATTTCAAGCTCAAACAATGTTGGAAATACAAATGCCTGACTATCGTTCAAAAACATCGACACATGGAAGAAATATGGCTGGCGCACGTGGCTTATGGCGTGCAACAGGAATGAAAGATGAAGATTTTGGTAAACCGATTATTGCGGTAGTCAACTCATTTACTCAATTTGTACCTGGTCATGTACATCTGAAAGACTTAGGTCAGCTGGTTGCTGAACAAATTCAAGCAGCGGGTGGCGTGGCAAAAGAATTCAATACGATTGCGGTTGATGATGGTATTGCAATGGGGCATGACGGCATGCTGTATTCATTGCCTTCGCGTGATTTGATTGCAGATTCTGTTGAATACATGGTCAATGCGCATTGCGCAGATGCCATGGTGTGTATTTCTAACTGCGACAAAATCACACCAGGGATGTTAATGGCGGCAATGCGTCTGAACATTCCAGTGGTATTTGTCTCTGGCGGCCCAATGGAAGCGGGTAAAGTTAAAATCCGTGGTACAGAACATGCGATTGATCTCGTTGATGCAATGGTGGTTGCTGCTGATGATAGTTTTACCGATGAAGAAGTAAAACAATACGAGCGTTCAGCTTGCCCAACTTGTGGTTCATGTTCAGGTATGTTTACAGCCAACTCAATGAACTGTTTGACAGAAGCCCTTGGTTTATCTTTACCGGGTAATGGTTCAACTTTAGCAACCCATGCAAATCGTCAAAAATTATTTGAAAAAGCCGGTCAATTGATTGTTAAGTTGGCAAAGCGCCATTATGAACAAGATGATTACACCATATTACCGCGTTCAATTGCGACCAAAGCATCTTATGAAAATGCGATGACGCTAGATATTGCAATGGGTGGTTCAACCAATACCGTATTGCATTTATTGGCTGCGGCACATGAAGCAGGCGTTGATTTTACCATGGACGATATTGATCGTTTATCGCGTAAAGTGCCTGTGTTGTGTAAAGTTGCACCTGCAAAACAAGATGTCCATATGGAAGATGTTCATCGTGCGGGAGGTATCATGTCAATTCTAGGTGAATTGGATCGTGCAGGCCTGTTGGATACAACAGTCTATACCGTACATGAAAATACGCTGAAAGATGCATTAGATAAATGGGATATTATTCGTACCGAAGATCCAGAGGTTTACGAGTTTTTCCGTTCAGCACCAGGTGGTGTTCCAACTCAAACAGCATTTTCGCAAAACCGTTATTATCAAACTTTAGATGGTAACCGTGAAAAAGGTGTGATCCGTAATGCTGAACATGCATTCTCTAAAGACGGTGGTTTGGCTGTACTGTACGGAAACATCGCTGTGGATGGTTGTATTGTAAAAACTGCGGGTGTAGATGATTCGATCCTGAAATTTAATGGTACGGCTCGTGTCTTTGAAAGCCAAGATGCTGCTGTAGATTCAATTCTTGGTCATGAAATCAAAGCTGGTGATGTGGTTGTCATCCGTTATGAAGGTCCTCGTGGTGGTCCGGGTATGCAAGAAATGCTTTACCCAACCAGCTATCTAAAATCGAAAGGTTTAGGTAAAGAATGTGCTTTACTTACAGATGGTCGTTTCTCTGGTGGTTCTTCAGGTCTTTCCATTGGTCACGTATCGCCAGAAGCTGCTGAGGGTGGTGTTATTGGATTGGTTGAAGATGGTGATTTGATTGAAATCGATATTCCAAATCGTACAATTCATCTCGCTGTTGATGATGCAACCTTAGCTGCACGCCGTAAAGTTCAAGACGAAAAAGGTTGGCAGCCAGCTGAAGAACGTCCACGTAAGGTTTCAAAAGCATTAAAAGCTTATGCTATGCATACCACTAGTGCGTCGAAAGGTGCAGTGCGTGAAATCTAAGCGTTAAAATAAGATTCCCAAACAAAATAAAAGCACTCATGGATTGGGTGCTTTTTATTGCATTGACCTAACGATTTAAATTTTATCGAGTTTTGGGATATTGATCATTCAGATTCAAATTGTTATAAGTTTTGTTATGACTGGTTAGAATTAATTTTCTCAGCATCACCCGTGAATGAATGGTATGCTTGAGCGAGTTTCAATCAGATTTTCTTTTATTTTTCAGTGCTTATTTCGAGGCTCTACGCATGTCACTGTTACGCCGTTGGTTTGATCCAATCCGATCGAGTTGGTTTTACCAAAAGCCGATTCGTCAAGAGGTGTTATCTACGGAACAGGGACTGAGTATTTATCTGCGTTTAGATGATGTTTATAGTTATCTTGCTGTACAGCAACTGACACAATTGGAAGATCTTTTAAGTGATGATTTAAAGCCACTTAAAGTGATTATTTCCAATACCGCAGCAGAACCCCCCAATGGCATGACTATAGAGGAATGGCGCAATTATAGTTTAGAAGACGCCAAAATCTTAGCCAATCAACATCGCTTTAGTTATGATGATGAAAAACCAGAACAACCAACTCAAGAAGCATTACAACAAGCGGAAACAATCCTTAGAAATACACCGCTGACCGGTCAAAATTTTCTTTATTTACTCGAAGATGTATTCCATATGCTGTGGCAACAGCAGTATGGCAAATTGCGCACTTTATTCGTGATGGCTAGTCAGCATCAAAAACCACAGAATTTTCCAGAACGTATTTTTGGTCAAAGCCCAATTTTAGAAAGCTATTTTGAATTTGGTGGACGTAAATATCATGCAGTGGATGATTTATTACGGCTGACTCGTCGCTTAAAACAACAAAAATTATTGATTGATAACCCTATTTTTCTGATCAATCACATTGAATGGCGTGAGCATTTGATGAGTGATGCGGAAGAGCTTGCTGAAATTCAGGCCATGCATCCTGAACTTGATTTATATATTGCCTTAGAAGACCCAATCAGTTGGTTATTATTGGCATATATCAAAGAAGAACTCGCAAATTATTATAATATTCAATTGAACCTATTCCCACTGAGTTATCACGGTCGGGACTTTTTTGATTGGAGTTTGGCGACCCGTCTTTCCAAGCGTTCAGAAGTGAAATTTACCCCGTTCTGTCGTCCGACTGCTGAAAGTACCTTAAATATGGCAAAGCTTTATTACAGCGTACCAGAAGAGCAACGTGTAGATGTGATGTATGACATTTTACAAGCGGTTTGGACCAAAGGGCGTGATTTATCATTCAAGCCGCATTTACAGCAAATGCAACATGATTTAGGGATTGAAAATCTAACCGATACTGATGTTGAAGCTTTATTAACAGCCAATGATCAGCAATGTGCAGAGAAACATCAGCCTGATTTTCCTGTTTTAGAATTGCGTATTGAAGGAAAGCGTTACGTTTTTAATAGCCTATATCGGGTTTGGATGATTGAAAGTATTTTTAGTAATGTGTTAGAACAGAAGTATAAAGCCGAGAATGAGTTGGAACGCGCTCAACATCATATAGAAGCACAGGATGCAGAAAAAACAGATGATTAAAAAAGAGAAATGTGAATCATTAGAACAAGTACGTGATCGAATCGATCAGTTGGATCAGGAACTGATTGAGCTGATTGCAACCCGCCAATTTTATGTTGATCAAGCTGTCCGATTTAAACGTAATGTAGACGACGTACAGTCTCCAGAGCGTGTACAACAAGTGATTAATAAAGTACGTCAGAAAGCCATAGATGTTGGAACTAACCCAGATTTGGTGGAAATGCTTTATCGGGAAATGATCCAGCATTTTATCCAAAGAGAATTAAAAGAAATCCGTCCATAACGGTAATGTGATTTCAATTTCACCCATAAAAATATTTATTTTAGAGAACGGTATGAAAAAAATTATTTTAATCTGCATTACAACAATGTTGAGTCAGTATGCACTTGCAGAAAATTGGAAATTTATTGTCAAAGATGAGGATGGTAGTTTTTATCTAGACACCGATCGTATTGTGAAAAAAGACAAAACGGTAAATTATTGGGCTAAGTTTGTTGCTGATGCAGACAGTGAAGAACTGGATATGAAAAAAAGTGACTATACACTTTCTCATAATTTAGACCAATGTGCTGATCGTACGACAAATATCACTTTGGTTGAAGATTATAAAAAAAATGGTCAATTGATCAATAGCGATCCGCAAGATTCAGATCCAAGTGATATTGATGATGATGAAATTAATCTGGCATTTTTTAAAGTCGTGTGTAAATAGTTTCTAAATTGTTATTTATTTCAATGCTTAAAGCATAATCAGCTTTAAGGCAATTCAGTCTAAGCTGCTTAAAATCCCTTTTATATAAAAGGGATTTTTTATTGATCATTGTTAATTTATGATCATCATACTATAGCCAAACCACCTAATTATTCATATAAATGATTTGCATCAAGTCATTGATCATAAATGAACTTATGTTCTTGTATCAACTCTTAGAAACTATTGGTTATCAATTCGTTTTTTGTACTTTTGAATCATAGATGGTTATCCTATCGTGGGGCGACATGGATGTCGCCGTTGGATGGAGGTACAGGACGTACCTCTCATCCAACAGAAGATTTTTGTTACTTTTCATCTCTGAAAAGTTAGGCATCGCCTACACAAACTTATTCAAACTTTCAAAGCAAAATGTGGCAATGAACGTTTTTTATAATCAAACAATTTATTTTCCCATATAATTGATTTAATTAAAGATATCAATTAAGAGAAATTATATTCTTGTGTATGCGTTTTTGACAAGTTGACTATATTTTGATTTAGGCATTTTCATTCTTGAATTAGCCCTTTATATGCCCCATTCCAATTCTGCATTTGTGATTTTATTGATGACAGATTGATATTCAAATTTTTTACATGCACACCATAATTGGATAAAATCTGAACCAAAATATTGTTTAAAGACTGTATGTTTTTCAAATAATTGCAGTGCTTCAAGCTGATGAGAGGGTAAGAAATGCTGTGAGTTGATCACTTTTACTTGTTGGATTGATTGAGGTAAATCCAGTGATGCATGTAAGCCATGCAGTACACCTGTCAGAATGGTTGCAACACACAAATAAGGGTTGACGTCTGCACCCGCAACACGATATTCCAAGCGTTGATTGTCCTGATCTGAACAGGGGATGCGAATGGCAACATTGCGATTATTGAAGCCCCAATTGGCTTCGAGTGGAACATGATTGCCAAGTTGAAATCTGCGAAATGCGTTAATATTGGGTGCTAAAATAGCCATGGATGCGGGCATTAAGTCAAGTAAACCTGCAATCACTTTGTGCATGATGGGGTTTGGATTTTTTAACTGATCTATTTTAAAAAGATTGTCTTGCCATTGGTTGCGTATGCTCATATGAAAGTGCATGCCACTGCCTGCTTTAGCCATATTTGGTTTCGCCATAAAACTGGTTTTTAAACCATGTTGCATCGCAATTTGACGAATCATTCGTTTAATACTCATGATGTCATCACACAGTTTTAAAATGTTGTCACTGTGCTGAATATTCAATTCAAATTGTCCAGAAGCACTTTCAGCTACAACACCTGTTAAATCAATACCTTGTCGTTTTGCTTCTAATTCAATTTGTTGAATGACAGTTTGAAAATTATGCGGAGTATCGACATCGAAACATTGGGTTGAAAGCGGATCAGATTGGGGAGAAAACGGGGCATCTTGGATATTTTTAGACAAATAAAATTCGATTTCACTGGCCATCATTGGAAAATAGTGCATCTGATGCAGTGTCAATAAAATTCTTTTTAATATATTGCGAGGCTCAATCACACAATCTGAACCATCATCGGATTTCATGGTTAATAGCAGTTGGGCATGCTGATGGGGTTGATCTGCACAAGGCTTTAGACTGCCCAAGACGGGCATACATAAGCGATCGGGTTCCCCAATATATTTTCCCAGCCCACTTTCTTCAACCACTTGACCATCCAAGCTCATCGCATAAATAGACAACGGAAAATAACAGCCTTTCTGCAATTGGTGGAGGGCATTTACTTCAATACGCTTACCACGAAGATGACCATTGAGATCATGTAAGCAGATATCAATAAACTGGGTCTCTGGATAATCTTCTAAATATTGTTGAATTTCTTTGTTGAAATCATGCATGCCCTGATTTTCTAAGATCAGTGCTGTGGGGAATATTTTTGTAGAACTGGCAAGCGACATATTCATTGTGAATAGATCCAAATGAGGTAAAAAAATTATAGAAAGCTTGCTTACTTGAGTAACGTAAAATGATCGTAAATTCTTTTCTTAGACGCTTAACCAAAACACTCAACATCAAGCCTCAATTATTGCTTGAGGCTCTATCCTAAAAACAGTGATATTTCAAAGCAAAGCTTTGGCGTAGCATTGCCTCAGAATATTGAGGTAAAACGGACATGATGGGATTTGTAATTGGTGTATTTGCAATTGCAGGCATGATTAAAGGCACAATTGGTCTCGGCTTGCCTGCCGTTTCAATGGGACTTTTAAGCCTTGTGATTAGCCCATTCCAAGCCGCAACTTTATTGATCATTCCATCTATGGTGACCAACTTTTGGCAATTGTTTGCTGAAGGTCATGTATGGCGGTTGGTTCGCCGTTTTTATCCCTTATTATTGGGGATTATGATCGGTTCAATTTGGAGTGTTTTCCCAACTTTAGGGCACTCTAGTGGTGGTTTTCATAGTGAAGCATTACTGGGGGGAATGCTGGCATTGTATGGACTCTATGGTTTGTTTTCCAAACGTATGCCAAATCTTGCACCGCATGAAAAATGGCTTTCGCCAATCATTGGATATTTAGGCGGTGCTTTAACTGTTGCCACGGGAGTGGTGGTGATTCCTGTGGTCCCTTATTTACAATCTTTGCAGTTAAAGCGTGATGATTTGGTTCAATCTTTAGGTTTAGCATTTACCGTTTCAACACTGTGCCTTGCTGTTTTCTTACATCAAAATCCTGTTGAAGATACGCCAATTGATTATCAGTTATCTCTTATTGCTTTGGTGCCTGCACTAATAGGAATGTGGGTGGGAACAAAAATTCGTTATCGTATTCCAGAGCAAAAATTTCGTAAAGTTTTCTTCTGTGGCTTGGTGATTTTTGGCTTATATTCAGTATTGCATCAATTTGGCGTGATCTAATTCGTGGACTTAAATGGTCGTTTAATCACGCTTTCCGCAAATGTGAAGCTATGACCATATTGGGTAAACTGAAAAAATCAAAGCAGATGATAGCGATTTAGTTAGTTTTAAAAATGAATATCAGCGTGGTGCTTAAGTCTTTAAGCTAAAATCAGTTTCGATTTTTGTGAAATTAAGAATTGGGCAAAGTGTTGATATGCTGTTGGAAGTTCATCAAAATTTTGAGCAGCCAATTGTAGTTGGCGTTTTGCCCATTCTCCAACTAGCTCAATTTGATCAAATGCATAGAGTTGATTGAGTCGCATTGCTGCCCGTTTGGGCATAATGGCAATGCCGACACCACTCGCAACCACTTGAGCGATCGCAGCAAAATTTGGCAATCTTAAACGATACTGAATTGCACAATTGAGCAATTTGGCTTGGTTTTCAATCGACTGCTGTAGAGAGTGATATTGCATTAAACCCACAAAGGCATAGTTCAGAGTATCGACCAGTCTGAGCTCTGTTCGCTCGCTTAATTCATGATTTGATGGACAAATCAGCACTAACGGATCATCTGAAAAGGCTAAAGTTTGTAATTGATGTGCATTAAAAAAGCTCGAAATTAAGCCGAGTTTTGCATTGCCTTTTTCAAGGGTCTGAATAATTTCATTACTTTCAGCTTCCTGTAGATCAATCTGAATATGGGGGTTTTCAACTAAATACTGAGGAAGTAATAAGGGCAGATATTCACTTTGTGCAGATGAATTACACCACAAAGTCATCTGTGTGCTTAGACCTTTTGCGAAGGGTGACATCGCTTGTTCAAGCTGTTTACTTTGTTGTATTAGACGTAAAGCCTGTTCTGCAAAAGTTTGACCTGCAATTGTGAGTTTGACCCCAGAGGCATGCCGGGTAAAAAGGCTTGTGGCATATTGTTGTTCGAGTTTTTTAATACGTTCACTGGCTGCCTGTAGTGAAATCGACGAGCGTTCTGCGCCTTTGGTGAGGCTTCCTGTGTCCACGATATTGATAAACAGTTGCAAATCGAAGAAGTCTAGGCGCATGCGAATCATAAAGAGCTGAAATGAGATCAAAGTATAGCTGAATAATCATACAAATATGCGATATCGTGTAGATTGTTTCAACGATGAGTAAGACGAGATTTAAATTGAAACAATGAAGGCTTGATCACGACGATATCGTACGATAGTCACTGGATATTTAAAGTGCTTGTATTGGAAAATATATAGGTTTGAAACATAAGTAACTTGATTGATATTGATCATATGCCTGACTTGCCCAATTTGAGTCTAAAACGCAAACCATTTATGAAATCTCAAAACACCCTAGAAAAGATGAAAATTCTAAGCGAGTAAAAAAAGTGAAAACGATTGGTTTATTAGGTGGAATGAGTTGGGAATCTACAGACTTGTACTATCAACAGCTGAATAAAAGCGTTCAACAAAAATTAGGAAAATTACACTCTGCAAAAATTGTTTTAATCAGTGTTGATTTTGCTGAGATAGAAATATTACAGCGTCAAGGTTTATGGGACGATGCAGCACTGTATTTAAAAGAGAAGGCAATTCAGTTGGAGAAAGCAGGGGCAGAAGGGATCTTACTGTGTACCAATACTATGCATAAAGTTGCTTCTGCTATTGAAAGCTCGGTCTCAGTTCCATTTATTCATATCGCTGATGCAACAGCAAAAGAAGTTTTAAATCAGAACATTGGCAAAGTCGGTTTGTTAGGTACTCAATTTACCATGGAACAAGGCTTCTATAAGCATCGGTTAGAAGAACAAGGCATCAATGTACTGGTGCCTAACCAAGCGCATCGACAGATGGTTCACAATATTATTTATGATGAATTGTGTTTAGGTGTGATCAAGGAAGAATCTCATCAGAAATACATCCATATTGTTGAGCAGCTAATATTAGAGGGTGCTGAAGGCATTATTCTGGGATGTACAGAAATTTGTATGCTCATTGGAGATACTCAGTTTTCTGTTCCGCTGTTTGATACAACGTCGATCCATGTGCAAGCTGCTGTGGATTTTGCTTTGTCTTGATCTTTTAAAGGGGGTATTTTTATCAACAAAAAAGCTCCCGGAGGAGCTTTAAATACTATATAAGCAAAGGCTTACATAATTTTCACACCTTGTTGACCCGCAGGAGTAACTTTGAAGATTTCTACTTCAAAAGTGATATTTTTACCTGCGAGTGGATGGTTGAAATCCACTTCAGTGATGTCTTCACCGACAGTTTTAACCACGCCAAATAGACTTTGTTTGGCTTTGTCTTCAAACTCAATCATGTGGCCTTCAACAGGGCGTTGTTCGAATTTTACTGTATCGAATTTTTGCACATTTTCAGAATTCCACGGACCGAAAGCATCTTCTGGTGGAAGGCTAACAGTACGACGGTCACCTGCACGAAGACCAAATAAGGCTTTTTCAAAACCTGGCAATAAACTGCCATCCCCGATCACTAAGCTTACAGGCTCTTCACGGCTACGTGTGTTATCAATTTCAACACCACTTTCGATAGCAACAGAAAAATGCAGTTCTACTTTTGAGCCATCCGCAACACGCGTTTCGTCATTGGGGTTAATCATTTGTTCAGTCATTTTGCGCTTCCGCACGTTGAATACGATGCTTTTCTAAAAAGAAGGTATCAATTAACAATAAAATCGTACCGAGAGTGATCGCACTATCGGCAATGTTGAATGCAGGAAAACTACTGCCTTGGTAATGCAAATGAATAAAATCGACCACATAACCTAATGTCACACGATCAATTAAATTCCCCAATGCGCCGCCAAGAATCAATGCGATTGCAGCAGGTAAGATCAGCGTGGTTTTTGGCATACGCATAAGCCAAAAAATAAAGATGATCGATACAACGCCTGCAAGGCCTGTGAATAAATAATGCTGCCAACCACCCGCATCAGACAAGAAGCTAAATGCTGCGCCGTAATTATGCAGTAATGTCCAATTTAAGAAGGGCAGTACAGGTACAGGTTGAGCATAAGTCAGCTCTGCACTTGCAATATTTTTTGTCCATTGGTCAATGATAATGGCAAGGACAGAAAGTCCAAGCCACATCAAATTATGCGGATAAAACTGTAATAAGCCCTTTTTATTTTGCGGATTAGGCATATTTTCTCTCTTCACCTTGACCTGTAGGAAGGTTAATAATACAACGAGAACAAAGCCCTGGATGTGCATGATGTGTATTCACATCTGGAAGGACATGCCAGCAACGTGCACATTTTTCGCCTTCAGCAGCAGAAACTTTAACACGTAGGCCTTCAAGCTCTGTTGCTTCACCTTGCTCAGCGTAGTCATAAACAATTGCTTGAGAGGTGATCAAGACAAAACGAAGCTCATCGCCCAATTGCTTCAAGACGTTTTGTAGGTCTGTATTTGCCCAAAGTTCAACTTTAGCAGACAGGTTACTACCGACTAATTTCGCATTACGCGCTGTCTCAATCTGTTTATTAACCGCAGATTTGACTTCAATTAAGGTTTGCCAATCTGCTTCAGAGATCAAGTTGGTGCTTGATGCCACTGGAATATCATACCAATGCGCTGTAAATACATATTTTTCAGTTTGCTCTGGAATCAATGGCCACGCTTCTTGTGCTGTAAAGCTCAAGATAGGGCTCATCCAACGAACAAAGGCTTGAACCAAATGATACAACGCGGTTTGAGCAGAATGACGTGCTGTTGAATCAGCTTTAGTGGTGTATTGGCGGTCTTTGATGATGTCTAAATAGAAACCACCCAAATCATTGATACAGAAACTGGTCAAAGCATTGGTGACGACATGGAAGTTCATATCTTCATAAGCTTGTTGAATGGTTTTCTGTACATCTGCTGCACGTTGTAAGATGTATTGATCCAATGCAATCAATTGGTCTACAGGTAACGCATCTGTTGATGGTTTAAAGCCGTTCAAGTTTGCCAATAAGAAACGTAAAGTATTACGAATACGACGATAGCTGTCACTTACACGGCTAAAGATTTCGTTACTTGCGGCAATTTCATAACGATAATCGCTTGATGCAACATATAAACGTAAACCATCAGCACCTAACTGCTTGATGATGTCTTCAAGTGGGATAAAGTTACCCAATGATTTTGATAATTTACGACCTTTTTCATCCACGGTAAAACCATGCGTAAGCAGGGCTTTATAAGGTGCGCGTTTATGGATCGCAATCGACGTGAGCAATGAAGACTGGAACCAACCACGATGTTGGTCAGAACCTTCAAGATATAAATCAGCAGGATCTTGCAGTTCTGCACGTTCACGCAATACTGCATAGTGCGTTGTACCTGAGTCAAACCATACATCGAGTGTGTCACGAACAGCATTGTACTGTTCAGCATCATCACCGATAAATGCTTTGGCTTCACGGTTATACCAACCATCAATGCCTTCTTTTTCGATGAGCTTCGCCACATCTTCAATGAGCTCTGCGGTACGAGGATGCAATTCATTGGTGTCTTTATGTACAAAGAATGGAATCGGCACACCCCAAGTCCGTTGACGAGAGATACACCAGTCTGGGCGGCCTTCAATCATTGACTTGATACGGTTTTTACCCCAATCAGGGACAAAGTCGATGTCATTTTCAATCGCATTTAAAGCATCTTGGCGTAACCCATTCGCATCCATGCTGATAAACCACTGTGGGGTTGCACGGAAGATGATTGGTGTTTTATGACGCCAGCAATGTGGGTAACTGTGCTTAATTGGCAGATGCGCCCAGAGTTTGCCAGCATCTGTTAATGCTTCAATAATTTTTGGATTGGCTTTATAAATGTGCTCGCCTGCAAAAAGAGGCGCAGTCGGTAAATATACACCATTACCACTTACAGGGTTTTCTACTTTTAAGTTATAGATTAAGCCAACTTTATAATCGTCCACACCATGTCCAGGTGCAGTATGCACAGCACCTGTACCACTGGTTGCGATGACATGTTCACCTAAAATTACAGGTACTTGACGATCTACAATCAATGGATGTTGTAATTGTAAGTTTTCGAGCGTCGCACCAACAAAGTCAGCCAATACTTTTGGTTGTTCAAGTTTGTAACGTTCACATGCAGATTCAACTAAATCTTTGGCTAAGATTAAGTTTTGTGTGCCACGCTCAGACTGAACTTCCACCAATTGATAGGCAATATCTGCATGTAAGGCAACTGCTTGGTTCGCGGGTAATGTCCACGGTGTCGTTGTCCAAATCACGATATCTGTTGGATTACTAACGCTGACACCAACTTTTGCAGACAAATCAGCAAGATCTACAACACCGAAACCCACATCAATTGCATCAGATTTTTTATCTTCATATTCCACTTCTGCTTCAGCAAGTGATGATCCACAATCCATACACCAGTTCACTGGTTTTAGACCAGGTTCGATATGGCCTGCTTTGGCAATTTCACCGAGCGCGCGAACAATATCTGCTTCTTGTTTGAAGTTCATGGTGAGATATGGATTATCCCAATCTCCAAACACGCCCATACGAACAAAGTCTTTTTTCTGTAATTCGACTTGGGTATATGCATATTCACGGCAGGCTTTACGGAAAGTCGATGCGTCAACTTTTACGCCAACTTTACCGATTTTTTCTTCGACTTTGAGCTCGATTGGTAGACCATGACAGTCCCAACCTGGAACATAAGGTGCGTCAAAATCATCTAAAGTGCGACTTTTAACAATAATGTCTTTTAAAACTTTATTGACGACATGACCTAAATGCAATGAACCATTTGCATATGGAGGACCGTCATGCAGAATATATTTTTTCTTGCCAATACGCGAAGCACGAATCTGCTGATAAATGTTGTCGGCATACCACTCTTCTAACCATTTTGCTTCACGTACTGCGAGATTTGCTTTCATTGCAAATTCAGTACCTGGTAGGTTTAGCGTGGCTTTATAATCCACTGCATTTTCAGAAGTTTGCTTATCGCTCATGCAAGTTGTCATCCAATATTATCAGCACCATTGCTGACGCGTTTTACAATAAAAGTTTAAGTTAAAAAGGAAATTTGGGGGTGTTTTTGCGAAACTCAAGCAAACGCTCGACATCATCATCAATTCCCGCCTGAAGCGCTTCAAGTGATGGGTAATTTAATTCACCATGTAAATAGTCGAGGAAAGTGACCCGCATTAACAGACCATACAGATTAGCAGAAACATTTGGAAAATGTACTTCTAATCGCCATTCTGGATGTTCTTGTTTGATTGCAGGGCGTGTCCCCACATGGCCCGCACCAAATAATGCATCTATTTGATAGCCAGCAACACCTATTTTATTGGGGTTCTCAGTTTTGACTTTCTGTGTCAATGAGGTGCTTTCGCAAATAACATCGACAGCATAAATACCACTTAAACAGGGTTTATGACGGCCAAGTCGAACATTGATGGTTGGAAAATTCAAAGTACGACCAATTTGATCACCATATTGCACACGACCAATCATGCTGTATGGGCGACCCAATAATTTTGCTGCAAGTGATAAGTCACCCGCTTGGAGAACTTGGCGAATACGGGTTGAACTGACACGTTCGCCATTAAATTCAATGGTATTGAGATTGGTGACATCAAAACCATATTGTTTTAAAAATTCACTATTGCCTTGACGGTCTTTGCCGAAGTGAAAATCATCACCTAAGATCAAACTTTGTGCATTGAGTTTGTTTTTTAACAGGCTCGCAAAGTTTTCAGCACTTAAGCTACGGAATTGATTATCAAATTTAGCGATAGCAATATAATCGACACCCAATTCAGATAAATATTCTACTTTTTCTCTGAGTGATGAAATCCGTGGTGGTGCTTCATAACCTTTGAAAAACTCTAAAGGTTGCGGCTCAAAAATCATCACCAAGGTTTTTAAATTTTGGGCTTTAGCCACTTCTTTGAGTTGAGAAACCATCGCCTGATGTCCCAAATGGACACCATCAAAATTGCCAATCGTCACAGCGGTTTGGGGCAATTGAAAATTTGGTGCTAAGGCATTTAGACGTAACAGCTGCATGGTTTCAAAATAAGCTTAAAATTTGAAAGGACTATATATTGCCATAATCTCACAGTTTCGTCTTTGTTGTTGTGTTTTTATCCAGAAAAAAATGACTGAGAATACTTTTATATCAGTAAAATTGATTCATTTTATGAAATTAAATCAATTTTATTTATTAAAAGATGCTTTTATAATCAATTTATCTGCTGAAATGAGGATGAAGCGATGAAAAAGCCATTTTACCAACTTGAACAAACAGGTGATGTGATTCGACAGTTTACGCCAAACTGGTTCACCATGACCATGGGAACAGGGGTTGTTGCACTGATCTTGCCTGAGTTTCCGTTTGCATCTGATTTTTTATGGCAGCTGGCAACTATTTTATGGCAGTTCAACACACTACTGTTTACTGTATTTATCATACTGTATGTTCTACGCTGGCTCATCTATCCTCAAGAAGCGAAGCAGATTTTTTCCCATCCCGCAATGGCACTCTTTTTAGGTGCAATTCCAATGGGGTTGGCAACGGTATTAAATGGCTTTTTAAAATATGGCATAGCCATTTATGGTGATGTTGCGTTCCAAATTGCGCAGTTGTTGTGGTATGTCGATGTGGTTTTAGCAGTGGGTATCGGGGTGCTAGTACCGTTTTGTATGTTCCATAAACAAGATCATCAATTGCATACAATGACTGCAATGTGGTTATTGCCAATTGTGGCCTGTGAAGTTGCAGCAACATCAGGCGGCTTACTTTTAGCGCATATGCATGCTAGTCAACAGGCAGTGGCTATTTTATTCGCCAGTTATATGCTGTGGGGGATGTCTGTATTGCCTGCTTTTGGGATTCTCACCATTCTGATGTTACGTTTGGCTGTACATCAATTGCCGAGCAAAGAGTTGGCAATTACGAGCTGGTTAGCTTTAGGGCCAATTGGTACAGGTGCATTGGCACTCTTGGTTCTAGGTGCTCAGGCTCCTCAAGTTTTGGCATTGATTCAGTTAGAAAATTTAGGTGTGTTCTTTCAAAATGCTGGGATTGTGGCAAGTTTTATTTTGCTTGGCTTTGGTGTGTGGTGGGTTGCAATCGCAGTTCTAACCACACTCAAACATGCGGCAACCGAGCTACCATTTAATCTCGGTTGGTGGGGGCTAACTTTCCCACTGGGTGTATTTACCTTGGCAATATTGAGTTTAGGTCACCAATTACATCTTAGTTTTATTGTAGATACAGGCTTAGCATTTGCTACAATTTTAATGATGTTATGGGTGATGGTGATGAGCAAAACTTTGCGGGGAATGTATCAAGGGAATCTGTTTTTTTCTCCTTGTTTAAAAGCTATGTTGGAAAGAGAGTGAATATCAATAGTTCAGCTTTAAAAATATAGCAAAGTATTTGTATTTTTAACTTTATTTAAAATCTCTTTAGCTTCAGGCAGTCCTAGATCAGCAGCTTTACTAAACGCCTCAAGAGCCTTGGTAGAGTTTTGAGGTATACCTAAACCTTTAGAGTGCATGACTCCTAAATTATATAATGCTGAACTATGATTTTGATTGGCAGCTTTGTTAAAAGCATCAAAAGCATTTTTATAATTTTGAGCTACGCCTTCACCATCTCTATACATAATGCCCAAGTTGTAGGACGCAGTGGGGTCTCCTTGGGCTGATGCCTTACTATTCCACTCAAATGCTTTGGAATAGTCTTGTTTTACACCCTCACCATTTCTATACATTTTTGCTAGGTAAAGTTGTGCTGTAATAGAGTTTTGATTGGCAGCTTTATTGTACCACTCGAAAGCTTTTACAAAATTTTGTTGAGTACCTTGACCAGTATAATAACCATAAGCTAAATTTAATTGGGCATTAACAAGACCTTGATCAGCTGCTTTAGTCCACCATTCAAATGCTTTAGTATAATTTTGTTCTACGCCTTTTTTATATAAATACATGTTTCCAAGATTAAATTGAGCTTTACTATTCCCTTGATTAGCCGATTGAGTATACCAGCTTAACGCTTGCTCATAATCTTGTTTAACATATTGCCCATAAGCATACATTAAACCTAAATAAAACTGAGCATCATCATTTCCTTGAAATGCAGACTTTGTAAATAATTCAAACGCTTTTGCATAGTTTTTATCTGTACCATCGCCATTGTAATAGTTATTTCCAAGGTTAAATTGAGCAATGGCAACACCTTGATCTGCTGCTTTTGTATACCACTTGATTGCCTTTACAGAATCTTGTTTTATGCTGTCAGCATATTCACCAAAGTCATATAGAACTCCTAGTGCAAATTGAGCTGTTGAATGCCCTTGATCAGCAGCTTTGGTGTACCAATCTAAAGCTTTGATGGGGTTTTTTTCTGTTTCTTTTCCTTGCAAGTAGATGTTGCCTAATCTGAATTGTGCATTGGAATTTCCTTGTTCCGCAAGAAGTTGAATATCTTTAAGAGTTTGATTTTCTGCGAGGAGAGGATTTATTGTTAGGCATATAATGAGAGTAACAAAAAAAAATTTATTCATGTTCATCATTTTTAGTTTTTATAGTCTAATTAAAATGAGTATATTTTATTTTGTCTCAATTGTTAATTTTTTTTAAAAATTAAAAAGTGAATGAATGTTGCAATCAATGAGGATTCAAAAAGCATTTCAGCCCGTGCTAGAAGAGGTGATTAACGCTTTTAGTCGCAACTTTGCCGAAGATTTACATAGTATCTATGTTTATGGCAGTGTCGCTCAAGGCATTGCAATTATCGGTCAGTCAGATTTAGACCTTTGTGTTATTTTTAAAAATAAACCTAAAAATTTAAATGAAAAGATTGCTGAAATAAGCACAAATCTTAAGGTCTTACACCCATTTCTACCTAAAGTTGATGTCGATATTGGTTTTCTAGACGAGGTTTTAAATAAGCATTCCCTACAAAGTTGGGGAGCATGGATCAAATTCTTTTGTCAGCACATTTATGGAGAAGATTTATCTGCGCTTTTTAACGATGTTCAGATTGATCGAGATGTAATTAAGGCGATAAATAGTGGTTATGATGCAGATATACAAGGTTATTTACGTATATTAGATGCATCTGATCAAACAGCAAAAGAATTAATCAACCTTAAAAAATCTTTAATTAAACGGATAATACGACTGCTCCCTTTGACATTGAACAATATAGAAGGATGGCCAGGCAATTTAAACGATACTGTGGCACAAGCGATAGATGTATATCCTGAACAAAAAGCAGCGTTTCAATACTTGTTAAAAGAACTTGATCATCCAAATGTAGCGAGTAAGACCTCGCTCCAAGAAATAAAAAACGTTTATTTGTGGATAGATGCTCACATTATATAAAATAAAAAAAAGCAGCCTTTTGGCTGCTTAAAATAGGTTCAATTTATAATTATGATTTATCTTTTAAGCTAAAGAACCAGTTCAGAATCAATGCTGCAAACGTTGCAGTACCAATACCACCCAAGTTGAAATCACCAAATTGAAGGGCAAAGTCACCTGTTCCTAAAATGATTGTTACTGCGGCAACCATCAAGTTTTTATTTTGAGAAAAATCGACTTTATTTTCAATCCAAATCTTCGCACCTGCAATGGTAATTAAACCAAAGACCACGATTGAAGCACCTGTTAAAATCGCCGTTGGAATGGTATGAATAACTGCGCCAAATTTAGGTGAAAACCCTAAGAAAATTGCAAAAATACCCGCAATAACAAAAACAATCGTAGAATAAACACGGGTAACGGCCATTACACCAATATTCTCACCATAGGTGGTCATACCCGGTGCACCGACACCACCAGAAAGCGTGGTTGCAATACCATCTGCAACAAAAGCTTTACCAATTTGTGGATCTAGGTTTTCGCCAGTCATGGCACTGACTGCTTTGATATGACCCAAGTTTTCTGCCACCAGAATTAAAGCAATCGGCGCAATAATTAACATTGCATTGAGATCAAAAACAGGTGAATGGAAAGTAGGTGTACCAAACCATGCGGCTTGTTGAATAGGTGTGAAATTAATCGGTGTTCCATTTCCCATTACATTTGCAACAATGAAATAGATCAAATAAGCCAATAACAACCCAACCAAGAGCAATAAGCGTTGTAATAGCCCTTTCGTGAATACAGCAATTGAACCCATACAAAGTACAGTGACCAAGGCCATCCACATATTAAAGTCATTGCCAGCGACACCTTTCACCGTAACAGGCGCAAGGTTTAAACCAATAATCATGACCACTGCACCAGTCACCACTGGTGGCATGAGTTTTTCAATCCATTTGGTCCCCGTTGCCATGACGAGCAAGCCGAACATTGCATACAACACACCACATGCCATGATCCCGCCAGCTGCAACAGCTAAATTTGCATTTGGCGTACCTGTACCTGATGCAGCATAGCCAGTTGCAGCAATCACCACCCCAATAAAGGCAAAGCTTGAACCTAGGTAACTTGGAACACGACCACCCGTAACAATAAAGAATAAGATGGTACAAATCCCTGACATTAAAATGGCAAGGTTTGGGTCAAAGCCCATTAAAAAGGGTGCGAGTACAGTTGCACCAAACATGGCAAATGCGTGTTGAATCCCTAAAACGACACTTTGCGCAGGAGGTAAATACTCATTGGTACCGACAGGTCTTGCATCAATGCTGCCAGAATAAGGACGCCATTTGGGAAACCAGTTGGACATAAATTGAGCACTCAAAAAACAAATTGGACACATCATACGCTTTCTTTTCGAGAGTTTTAATCATTTTAGTCAAACTAAGCACTTGCATTTATTAGGGAAAATTGATGTTTTGTACCATTTGGTCAAATAATTAAATAATGTTAGTGCGTAAAATCAAAGTATTAAAAAAAATAGATATAAAAAAGAAGAATAATTCAGGATTTTGTAACTGCTTAAATTTTTTCCATTCAAATTGAGATTTTTTTGCAATTGTTGATGAATTAGGCATTTTATTTGTGTGAAGTTGCTTCTAAATTAATAGTTTCATTTTTCGTTAGCACTGATTCAACGTTCTTCTGTTTATATACTTTATATAATTTTGAAGTTCTTTTTCTAACTCGACAAAATTTTTATTATTAATCATATGCTTCTCATATTTTGGAATTTTCGACTTTAGAGTTCCTTCATTATTTAAAACAGTATAACTATAATTTTCTCTGTAACCTGTTAAAAATTTTGAATTGAAAAAATATAATATTGTCTCAGTTCCATATACTCCAGAATCACCATCTATTTGAGAAACAATCACACAATTTTTTTTATCTAATTTATAGATACTAATTTCATTATCAAAGACAGGACCTCCATTTTCAACTTCATAATCTATGGTAAAGCTCTGTAAGATTTTAAATTTATTTTTAATTTCATATCCTGTATATTTATAAGAATCAGTGATTTTAGTTGTACAACCTCCAACTATAAAAATAAAAAATAACAAGGCTAAAACATTTTTCATAAACACTCCGAAAGCTAAAAATTTAATTTTTTATAATTACTTATACCAAGTACTAAAAGTTGAGGTCTTAAGTCACGCCATGTTTTTCCATTGGGATGTAATTCGAAATGAGGCCTATCAATTAGGGATTTCCATCGACCACCCCATACTAATCCTAATTGTTCACCAATTGGTCCTAATTTTTTATGATCTTCTTCTGCACTACTTCTTCTGTCTTGTGGAGATAATTTCTGATTATAGGCAACAATTTCACCATCTCGCACAGACCAAACATCTACAGCCAAACCATATTGGTGATAACTTTTTAATGGTCCCGCTTTTGTAACCCCGCTAGATAAAGCGCCTTGTGCTGCAGGGCTTCTATAACCATCCGTAATTGTCCAACATATGTTGAGTGTTTGGTAGCCAGTATTAATTAATTGAATTATGTAGGGTTGATATATTGGATGAAGTTCAGAAATTCTAGCTAATGCCCGTTTGTAATGCTTCTCTCCTCCACATGCTTCTGGTAATAAGCCACTAGTATTGACAGGATCAGATGCTTCCACTTCAGCCACAGGAGATTCTTCTTTGTTTTGAGAAGCATTCTGTTTTACTTTTGGTGGCGTAGACTTCTTATCTTTCTTGCTCTCAATTTTAGCTTTTGCTTGAGTGAGCCCTACTTTTCGGTCATAGACTTTTAACTTTTGGTTCTCACGGAGATGATCATCGCTTAGCCCATTAAGCTTTTTAATTTCATCGACCGTATTAGCTGTAAGCTTTGCAATTAAAGTTAATGTATCTTTATACTGAACTACAATGATCGTGGTTTTTTCTTGCTGACGAGGCTTTGTTTCTACTGGCTTAGTTTTATTTTCAGGAGTTGCTGTTTTTTTGACAGGGATTTTTAGCACTTGCCCAGGATGAATATCTGTATCACTTTTTAAATTATTTATTTTGATCAATTCTGATGTCGTTGTTTGATTATCATTCGCTATTCGAGATAAATAATCACCTTCAGCCACAATATAGGTTGATCTTAGATAAGTACCAGTTGCCACATCCTTTGTAGAAAGATTCACGCCTTTCAGTAAAACTTTTGGGCTACGAACAATAAAAATTGTTTTTTCTCCAACCAGCTGTATTTTGACTTTAGATTGATATTCCCCAGATGTACTACTCCTGATCCTCACATCAATCATCGTGCCTATAGGTCGCTTAAACCAAACAGATTCACCACTGGCAGGAGTAACATGATCAGATATAAGAGAAGACCCCACCCAAAGTTGATGGACTAATCCTTGAATAGGTTGTTCTAATGCATCAAGAAATTTAATATTTGCTAAGCAATCCATCATTAAACCTCTTGATCATGCTGGTCATGTGAACGGCATAGGTATTCAAACGCGTCCTCATCGTCAAGACCATCATCTACAGACACGGTCCAATCTTCTTCTGTACCAATGAGAATATCGTAGTCATCATTATGGTCCGAGCTTAGTCTTTGAGTTCGTCCATGCTGATCCAGTGTCCCTGAAACATAGGTGTTATTTTTATTATTGATGAGTTTATATTTCACATTAGAAAAATCAGTCTGGTAAAAAAGATCATAAAAATCCCATTTATTACTAAATAGAGTCTCTTCTTTTAAGATAGGAAGTGTTGGAATTTCAGCTTTAACACGACTTCCCGTTTTAAACTGATGTTGCCCGGCAAAAACTTTAAAATCATTTGGTGTTTTAATTGTTATGCCATTTTTTGAAATGATGATTTGTGAACCACCAGCCATGACTATACCATTTATTAGTTTGTTGATATTATATGTTTAGCATATCTTACAAAAATGAACAATATGACTTTTATCATTGCTATACAACTTGAGGATGGTGTAGTGGTTGCTGTAGATAACAAAAACATTCAATTAAAAGATAAAAATATCAATGATTTTGAGGAATATGACGATGTAAAGTTGTATGGGTGGGATGGTGGTGTTATCACGGGAACAGGTGAAATGTATGTCATTGATAAAGCAATAAGACTTTTTATTAATAATGCTGAATCTGATCTTAAAAAATTACCAGAATGTTTAAATATATCCAGACAAATTCGTGAAATGGAGGTTGGTCAGCATGAGCAAATCCAATCATCCAAATTGCTCTATTCAAGCTTTAGTGATTCAGGTGCAAAAATTTTTGCTGTTGAATGTGATGAAACAGGCGTTTATCGAACTCGTGAATTTCAAAATAACGATGTAATCGTTTGGTTTTTTAACCAAAATATTCAGGAAATAACGCAAGATTTAAACAACTTGTATAGCAAAGCACGAAGTTATAGTTCTTTTGAGCAACAAGCAGATGGGTTTAATTATTATCTTCATCCTATTGCAGAAATTTTCTATAAACAAAGTCAAGTCGATACTTGGATGAGTAGCAGTTTTAATATTTGCTTCCAAACAAGAAACTAATGCTTTTCTGCCTATATCCATAATCAAAGAAATGACTTTATCGAGGGTCACTAAGTTGAAGGGGTACCTATGTACCCCTTCAAAGAAACTTGAACTTAACCCGTATTACGTAAACCTGCCGCAATACCAGCAATACTGACCATCAGTGCATGATCTACAGGGGTATGTTCCGCCTGACATTCAGCCAAGTATGCACGACGACGTTTCATCAATTCGGCTTGTAATAAATGCAAGGGTAATAAATACGGCTTACGTACTTTCATGGCTTGATCAAGCACATCATTGGAACTTAACAGTTGCGATTCACCTTTCATCGCCAACAGGGTTTGTACTGCATCATGCAAGCGTTGACGTAATTCAGCACCAAGTACTTTTAAGTCTTCATCATCGGTAAGATGAGATTCATAATACAGTGCAATATTTGAGTCGGCTTTAGAGAGGACCATTTCCAACATATCAATTAATGTTTGGAAATAAGGCCATTCCGTTAACATTTCATCCAATACCGCTTTTTGACCTTGATCAATCACTTGGTTGATCGCTGCGCCAGTACCCAGCCAAGCAGGCAGCATTAAACGAATTTGGGTCCAGGCAAAAACCCAAGGAATGGCACGTAAAGATTCGATCCCACCACTGACTTTACGCTTCGCAGGGCGTGAACCAAGCGGCAACATTTGTAACTCAAGCTCAGGGGTGACGGTGCGTAAATATTTAACAAAATGAGGGTTTTCACGCACAGTCTGACGATACACCTGAACAGATAAATCCGTCATGCTGTGCATCAAATCTCGCCATGCTTGTTTTGGCACAGGGGGTGGTAATAATGTGGCTTCTAAGGTTGCAGCAGCATAAATTTCCAAATTTTGTAAGGCAATTTCTTCTAGACCAAATTTAAAGCGAATCATTTCACCTTGTTCAGTTACACGGATTGCGCCTGAAATTGAGCCAGGTGGTTGAGAAAATAATGCTTGTTGGGTTGGTGCACCACCACGACTGATTGAACCACCACGACCATGAAACAAGGTCAGTTGAACGCCATGTTGTTTGGCAATTGCCGTCAGCTCTTCTTGCGCACGATACTGGGCCCAGTTTGCGGACATAAAGCCAGCATCTTTGGCAGAATCCGAATAGCCAATCATGACTTCGTGCTTAGCTTGGATATGCTGTTTATACCAGTGCATATTGAACAGTGTACTCATGGTACTTGCAGCACCATCCAAGTCTTTCAAGGTTTCAAATAAAGGAACAACGCGTAATGGATGTTCAATTCCCGCTTCTTTTTGCAGTAACAATACCGCCAAAACATCACTTGGATATTCCGCCATTGAAATGATATAAGCACCTAAGCTTTCTTTGGGTTGTTCAGCCAAAGTACGCATGGTTGCAAAGACTTCTTGAACATCAGGGTTTTCAATCAGACTACCTGAAGGCTCATTTAAATGTTTAGGCAATAACGGGCGTTTGCTTTGTAATTCTTGCAATAAGAAATTTTGACGCGCTTGTTCTGTCCATGTCTCAAAATTACCCAAACCGAGATATTCGGTAATTGCTGAGATAGCTTGGCGATGACGACCAGACTCTTGGCGAATATCCAGTTTAAGCAATTCAATACCGAAACAATTTACTCGATAGATAAAGTCGAGCAATTTACCATTGGCAATCTCAGGTAAATTACATGCCATCAGTGAACGATAGCAAAGTAATAACGGTTGTAATAATTCATCTTTATGGCGAATGATTAAACTGCGATCGACATCTGAATGCTGACAACGTAATTTATCTGCCAACCATTGGCGGGTTGCTTTGAGGCGTTCACGGGTCGCGCGCAAATATTCACGGTAAGGTTCAGGATGGCTATAACCCAAAGCTTGAAGTAGCTCATTGGAATAGGCTTCAATCGAGAGTTCCCAACGAAGATCTTCAATATCACGCACATAAAGGTCAGCCGCTTTCCAGCGTGACAACCACAAAACTTCTTGAGTAATGTTATGGGTGACGTTCGGGTTACCATCACGGTCACCCCCCATCCAAGATGCAAAACGAATTGGAGAAATATCCAAAGGCAAAACCTTTGCACAATTGTCCTGAACGAGGTCATCCAATTCACGGATGAATTTTGGAACCGCATTCCACAAAGTCTGTTCAATCGTGGTAAAGCCCCATTTTGCTTCATCTATCGGGGTTGGGCGATGCTGACGGATTTCGTCAGTTTGCCATGCAGAACAGATCAGTTGTTTTAAATCGGTTAACACATCTGCACGTTGCTTAGGTGTCAGTTTTTGCTGATCAAAAGTAGACAGGCAATGATTAATGCCATCATATTTTTGGATTAAAGTACGACGACTGACTTCGGTTGGATGCGCTGTGAGAACCAATTCAATTTTTAATTCACAAATTTGTTTATAGAGCGTTTCTGCTGAAATTTGCTGATCTTTGAATTTGCTAAATAAATGATCCAGCACATTGGGTGATGGTGAGTTTTCATCGCACTCACTTTGTCGACGACTACGCACAACGTGATATTGTTCAGCAATATTGGCAAAATTTAGAAAGTGTGAAAAGGCGCGGGTGAGTGGCAGAATTTCATCATCTTTTAAATTTAAAAATAATTGTTCAAGTTGTTTTTCTGCTTCAATTTGACCATCTCGAGCGCCTTTACCTAAAGCCCGAATTTGTTCAATTTGATTAAACAAATCTTGTCCTGCATGTTCCTTTAGCGTTTCGCCTAAAAGGTTTCCGAGTAAGCGTACATCTTCACGCAGCGGAGCATCAATTTGTTGAACCATTTGTTACTCTCCAGTTCTTGTTATCTCGAATATAACGTGATTCCACCACAATCCAAGAGACTCCCTACAAAAGTATGTAAATGACTGTGCAAGAAGTCGACTTTGGCTTAATTTTAATTTGGATATTTAGCTTTAGTTTTTGCCCTTTTGATATCAACAAGCCTATGCGATATGCATTGAGTATGCCTTAAACAACAATTGGACATTATTTTGTTTTTAAATAATTTCAGTTGGCTTTATATTTCATCATAAATAAATCAATACTTTCGGTGATGATTTGCTGTTTTTCATCTTCCGTAGGAATCGGGCGAATCCCCAATAAGACCTCGTGGTGTCGAACACCCAATAATAATGACAAAATTAAATTAATTTGTTTTTCAATATCATCCGTTTGAATAAATTTAAGCGTGACCGCTTGTTGGAAAAAATCTTGCCAAACTGCACACATTCTTTGATGGGAAGAATTATAAAACTGTAAAGCCAAAGGATTTTTTTCTGCGGCAAGTTCTAACAATAGATGCTCAAGTTTAATGGCTTCAGGTAAGCTAATGACAGTGAGGGCCAACTCACACGCCTGAAAAAAATGCGCATAAAAATCACTTTGAAGATTGAGTCGTAATGGTCGAGCATCGATAGAGGCTTCACAGGTTGCTTCAATGGCACAACTAAATAAAGTTTCTTTATCTTGAAAATGGTTATATACCGTCAGCTTTGTGACGCCTGCTTCTTTGGCGATTTGATTCATGCTTGAACCGTGATAACCCAATTTTAGAAATAGCTTTTTGGCGGCTTCCAAAATGTGTTTCCGTTTTTCTAAGTCCTTTGGACGTCCAGCTGTTATTTGCACAATAAGTTCCAAAAAAAGAAAAATAGGTCAATTACTCTATACATGATTCACAATTACTGTACCATGCAGTATATTAATTAAAAAATGAGCAAATAAATATACTCATTCTATTTTGCCCGAAAAAATGCATTTGATTAAGAGCCTTGCCTATGCGTAGTTTAAATTTAATGATCACGAGCCTATTGGTATTGTGTAGTGTAACAATAGTGGGGTGTAGCAAACCAGCACCTGAAGCGGAACAAATTCCCTTGGTGATGGTGACCCAACCTGCAACATCACATGAAGACCAAAAAAGTTATGCGGGGGATGTTCAAGCTCGACAGCAAACAGCATTGGCATTCCGTGTCGGGGGACAAATTACAGAACGCTATGTCGATGTTGGGGCTCGTGTCAAAGTTGGGCAAGTCTTAGCAAAACTTGATGTGAAAGATGCCCAATTACAATTGAACTCAGCCAAAGCACAACTCGAAAGTGCACAATCTGCAGCTAAGGCTGCAGCAGATGAATTTAAACGCTTTCAGCAGCTCTTACCGATCAATGCTGTGAGTCGTTCACAGTATGATTCAGTGAAAAATCAATATGATGCTGCTCAGGCAAGTTTAAAACAAGCCCAATCCAATTATGATGTGAGCGCCAATCAAACGGGTTATAACCAATTGATTGCCAATAAAAATGGGGTGATTACCCAACGTAATATTGAAACTGGGCAAGTGATTTCAGCAGGGCAAGCGGCATATCAACTAGCGATTGATGGTGATCGTGAAGTGGTGATTGGGGTACCTGAACAAGCCATTGCAGAGATTAAAGTCGGACAAAATGCATGGGTGACTTTATGGTCTAAACCTCAAGATCGATTTGCTGCCTATGTTCGAGAGATTTCTCCAGCAGCCGATCAATCACGTACATTTATGGTTAAAGTGGCTTTAAAAGAAGGGCAGTCCGCAATTCAACTTGGGCAAAGTGCGCGGGTATTCTTTAATCAAAATATTCAAAATGTATTGAGTGTGCCTTTATCTAGCGTCTCAGCAAATAACAATCAAGCCTATATCTGGGTGGTGAATCCAGACCAAACGATTCGTAAAGTTTCAGTGACTTTGGGCAGCTATGGTCGTGACAGCGTTACTGTCGTGAAAGGCTTAAATCCTGGACAATGGGTGGTTGTAGGAGGGGTACATTTACTTCGTGAAAAGCAAAAAATAAAACCGGTAGACCGTGAAAATCGTGCTGTAACTGTTCAAAAAGGAGCATGATCATGAGTCCATTTAATTCCTTTAACTTGTCAGAATGGGCACTCAAAAATAAAGGATTAGTACTTTATTTTATGATCCTATTGGGTATTGTCGGGCTATTTTCCTATTCAAAACTCTCTCAGAGTGAAGATCCACCCTTTACTTTTAAAGTCATGGTGGTACAAACCTATTGGCCTGGTGCAACAGCTCAAGAGGTTTCTTTACAAGTTACCGATAAAATTGAAAAAGAACTGATGAGCACAGGGCTCTATGACAAGATTATGGCTTACTCGCGTCCGGGTGAGTCTATGGTCATGTTTATGGCAAAAGACTCATTAAAATCTAACCAAATTCCAGATGTTTGGTATCAAGTGCGTAAAAAAGTAGGCGATATCAAAACACAATTACCTTCTGGTGTTCAGGGGCCGTTCTTTAATGATGAGTTTGGGGATACCTTTGGGAATATCTATGTCTTAACAGGCAAAGATTTTGATTATGCAACGTTAAAAGAATATGCAGACCGTTTACAGCTTCGCTTACAACGGGTAAAAGATGTCAGTAAAGTCAATCTGGTGGGCTTACAAGATCAAAAAATCTGGATTGAGCTTTCCAACACCAAAGCCGTACAAATGGGCGTACCAGTTACTGCAATCCAAGAGGCTTTGGCAAAGCAAAACAGTGTGACCAGTGCTGGCTTTTTTGAAACAGGCACTGACCGTATTCAAGTGCGAGTCAGTGGTGCTTTAAAAAGTGTCGATGATTTGAAAAAAATGCCCTTGTTGGTGGGAAATAGAACCATTCAACTGGGTGATGTTGCTGACGTTTATCGTGGATTTAGTGAGCCAGCACAACCTCGCATGCGTTTTATGGGCGAGAATGGAATTGGTTTAGCGGTTTCTATGCGTAAAGGTGGTGACATCATCGCATTGGGCAAAAACCTAGAAACGGAATTTAAGACCTTACAAAAATCACTGCCTTTAGGTATGGAACTGAAAAAAGTTTCAGATCAACCAGTGGCTGTTCAACGCAGTATTCATGAATTTGTCAAAGTTCTTGCAGAAGCAGTCATTATCGTTTTATTAGTGAGCTTTTTTTCGCTTGGTTTTCGTACAGGCTTGGTGGTGGCATTTTCGATTCCACTGGTGCTTGCGATGACTTTTGCAGGTATGAATTTATTTGATGTTGGCTTACATAAGATTTCTCTAGGAGCCTTGATTCTGGCCTTAGGGTTATTGGTTGATGATGCCATCATTGCCGTCGAAATGATGACCATCAAAATGGAACAGGGCTATAGCCGGATGAAGGCAGCTGGTTTTGCATGGACCAGTACCGCATTTCCAATGCTGACCGGAACATTAATTACCGCAGCAGGTTTTTTACCTATTGCTACAGCCGCATCAAGCACAGGGGAATATACCCGTTCAATTTTCCAAGTGGTGACCATTGCCTTAATTGTCTCATGGATTGCTGCTGTGGTTTTTGTTCCTTATCTAGGGGATAAGTTACTTCCAGATTTTAACAAAGTGCCACAAAAAGCACCGTGGTATCAGCGTCTTCTTGCAAGATTACGTAAGCAACCAGAACCTCAGCCCGTGATTCATCATACTGGTGAGCATTTTGATCCATATCAATCTAAATTTTATCAAAGCTTTAGAAAGTTGGTGAATTGGTGCGTGACCTATAGAAAAACCGTCATTTCAATTACGGTTGGGGTTTTTGTCCTGTCTGTGGTGATGTTTAAGTTTGTACCCCAACAATTTTTCCCGTCTTCAAACCGTGCTGAAATTTTGGTTGATTTAAAATTGGAGGAAGGCGCATCACTGACTGCAACTGAAGAGGCCGTGAAGAAAGTCGAGGCATTTTTATCCAAGCAAAAGGGTATTGATAATTATGTTGCTTATGTAGGAACAGGTACACCACGTTTCTATCTGCCTTTAGATCAACAGATGCCACAAGCCAGTTTTGCACAATTTGTGGTTTTAGCATCGTCACTGGATGATCGTGATGAAATTCGTAAATCCTTAGATACGCAAATTCGCCAATTATTGCCACAGGTGCGTATTCGTGTCTCTTTATTAGAAAATGGTCCTCCTGTTGGCTATCCATTGCAATTTCGTGTATCGGGTGAAGACATTGCAATTGTTCGTCAGGAGGCGCAAAAAGTTGCTCAACTGGTGGGTGAAAATCCAAATACCGCAAATGTTCATTTGGACTGGGGTGAGCAAAGTAAAATCATTTCGTTGGTGATTGATCAAGATCGTGCCCGTCAAATGGGTGTAACCTCAGAAGATTTGGCGAATTTTTTAAACAGTTCGATATCGGGTGCAATTATCAATCAATATCGTGAAAAACGTGAGCTGATTGATGTTCGTATCCGCGGTGATCAGGCTGAGCGTGTCAATGTTGAAGCATTATCTAGTCTTGCTGTTCCAACAAGTAAAGGTACCACCGTACCTTTGGCGCAGATCGCTACGCTTCAATATAAATTTGAAGATGGTTTAATTTGGCACCGCAATCGATTACCGACCATTACTGTACGTGCAGATATTCGGACCAAGTTACAGCCTGCAACGGTTGTCAATGAGCTGGCTGAAAAAATGGATCAGCTCCGTACAACCTTACCAAGTGGTTATTTGCTAGAAGTTGGTGGCGCGGTAGAGGAGTCCGCAAAAGGGCAAACCTCTGTGAATGCAGGGATGCCATTATTCCTTGCGGTGGTATTTACTTTGCTGATGCTGCAGTTAAAGAGTATTTCTCGCTCATTCATTGTATTTTTGACAGCGCCGTTAGGTTTAATTGGGGTGGTCTTATTTCTACTCTTATTCAATAAGCCTTTTGGTTTTGTGGCGATGCTGGGTACCATTGCATTATCTGGAATGATTATGCGTAACTCACTGATTCTGATTGATCAGATCGAACAAGATATTCGATCAGGGCAGAATCAATGGGATGCGATTTTGGATGCTACAGTTCGTCGATTCCGTCCAATTATTCTCACCGCCTTGGCAGCAGTATTGGCCATGATTCCGCTTTCTCGGAGTATTTTCTTTGGACCAATGGCAGTGGCCATTATGGGTGGCTTAATTATTGCGACACTTTTAACGTTATTTTTCTTACCAGCGTTGTATGCGACTTGGTTTAAGATTAAAAAAACTACAGAAAATACATAAATTGTTGAGAATATTAGGTGCGAAAAATTGAAAACTTCAATATAGTAGCACTTAATCTTTAACAGAAAATAACATAGGAAATTTTATTGCATAATAAGTAAATCGGTATGCAATAAATTTGAGGTCAAAAACACCCATGGGGCAAACAAATCCAGAACAGCATCGTAAATTTATTACGAGCTCTTATTTGTTTATGTTTCTTGCATTGTTTACGGTGATTACAGCCGTGTTGGCGTATTGGTTAGCACGTAAAGTAGCAGTGGCAGATAATGCAGAGGTATGGATACATGCGCAAGCGTTGTGGATTATGCGCAATGCTCTCATTTTTTTGATTTTGGCAGCCTTTGCTGCGCTATGGTTTATTCCGTTAATCTTTTTCTATTGGGACAGTTTCATTTGGGTAAAAGCGTGCACTGTGGCTGGTGTGGTATTTAGTGCCATTGCGTGGTTATATTTACTCAATACATGGCTCAAAGGTTTTACTAAATATTTACAGAAAAAAGCTGTTTTTTAAAAAAAACCACATTTCACGCTTGTAAAAAATAACATCGCCCCCAATTTACTCTGCATAGAAGTATTATCAAATTTTGTGGAGCATCGCCAATCATGGCTAAACGTGATTATTATGAGGTTTTAGGTGTTGCTAAAACCGCTAGTGATGATGAAATTAAAAAAGCCTACCGTAAGTTGGCGATGAAGTATCATCCAGATCGTAATCCTGACAACTCAGAAGCTGAAGAAAAGTTTAAAGAATGTGCGGAAGCATATGAAATTCTTTCTGACGGTGAAAAACGTAGCATGTACGACCGTATGGGCCATAACGCCTTTGAAGGTGGTATGGGCGGCGGTGGCTTTGGTGGTGGTTTCAGCGCCGAAGACATTTTCAGTCAGTTTGGTGACATCTTTGGTGGCGCTTTTGGCGGAGGTGGCCGTGGTCAGCAACGTGCGCGTCGTGGTTCCGACCTGCGTTATGTCATGGAATTAACACTCGAAGAAGCGGTGAGAGGCGTTAAGAAAACCATTACCTTTACTGCACCAGCACCTTGTGATGTGTGTGATGGTAAAGGTTCAAAAAATCCAAATGATGTAGAAACCTGTAAGACTTGCCATGGTGCAGGTCAAGTGCGTATGCAACAGGGCTTCTTCTCTGTTCAGCAGACATGTAGTACCTGTCGTGGACAAGGTAAAATTATTAAAAATCCATGCAGCAAATGTCATGGTTCAGGTGTATCAGATCGTCAGCAAACTCTTGAAGTTACTATTCCTGCAGGTGTTGATAATGGTGATCGCGTTCGCTTAACGGGTAAAGGTGAAGCGATTCGTGATGGTCAATCTGGTGATTTATACGTTGAAGTCGTAGTACGTGAGCACGATATCTTCCAACGTGATGGTGCAGACTTATATATGGATGTACCTGTTAGTATCGCAGATGCTGCTTTAGGTAAAGAACTTGAAATTCCAACATTGGATGGCCGAGTCAGTTTGAAAGTGCCTGAAGGTACACAAACCGGTAAAATGTTCCGACTACGTGGTAAAGGGGTAAAACCTGTACGTAGCAGTATGCAAGGTGACTTACTTTGCCGTATTGTGGTGGAAACACCTGTACATTTGACCAGCCGTCAACGTGAGCTATTGAAAGAACTTCAAGCCACGATGGAAAGTGATGACAATAAATCGTCACCGAAGAAAAAATCTTTCTTCGATCGTTTATTTGACTAATTGAGTTTAGATCTTTTCATTTAGCAAGCTAAACATTGAATATGTAAAAACGGAGCAACAGATCTTGTTGCTCCGTTTTTTTTATTTTGATGCTTGATTCGATGGTGATAAATCAAATTCGTTGTCATCCGGGGCAGCATCTATTGAATTATCATCTTGGGGGAGTATCACCGCGGGATGTGTTGCTGGTGTCGATGATTCTGATGATGGAGCGGTAGGCGGTGTGGTGTCTTCGGCCCAAACTAGTGAAACAGTTGTTGTCATCATCAATCCTAAAATGATTTTTTTGAGTTGCATGCTATTTCCTTTGATATATGCTTTTTATGATTGCGTCCAAGCGCTTTTAGTGTAGCGTATTTTGCTACTACATCGTTATTTTGCAAAACGATGTTTGTCATTATTTAGAAAGACTAGATTTGGTATTTTGTGCCTAGTATCAGTTAAAAAAACGCAAAATCGCAAACATAGACGAATTATTAACAGACCTTACAGATCTGAAAAATTTAAATTTTGTTTTTTAGTTATTTTTAGCTGTAATTTAATACACATTTCAAGCAGTTTTTAGATAATTTAAAAATAATATAAGTGTTGATGTTTGGCTGTAGTGCCTAATTTTTATGATGATAATTACAATTGAATTGAGTTATTTTTAAAATGAGAGGTTGAAGGTATTGGAGATACCCTCAACCGCTGAAAAATAGGTACTTATTATTCGATGATTGGTGCATCAATATCTTCGACACGAACTTCTGTTTGAGGTTCAGATGCTGTGTTGCTATTGGGTTGAGCAAGCGTTTTTTCTTCAGTTGTCGTTGATGTTGTTGCAGGCGCTGATTCAGCCCAAACATTTGTCATCATCATGCCGAGTACCAGAGCGAAAGCCACTTTATTCGAATGCATATTGATCTCCTTATAAGCCATATTATTTTCATTCGTGGCATGTAGTCTGCTGTGGGATTCTTGCATTTTGATGAAATGGATTTGAAAAGTTGTAAATTTTTCAAAGTTTTACCGATATATTTTATAAAATTAATCTATTTATTCGTTCAGGCTATTCTGTACCAATGAGCGCAACAGATCCCAAAGCAAGTAAAAAGATCACAGTATTTTTTTATATTGAAACGTCGTCTTGGAACCGAGTTTTGTTATAGTAGAGCCAAATTTTCAAATTCAGATTTAGGAAGATCGTATGTCAGCAGCTCCACGCATTGGTATTGTAGGTGCAGGTGGCCGTATGGGCCGTACATTGATTCAAGCTGTACAACAAGCAGGCTTTCAGCTTGCTGCTGCAGTAGAGCGTCCAGAAAGCACATTAATTGGTGCAGATGCAGGAGAGCTTGCAGGAATTGGTGCTGTGGGAATCAAAGTGGTTGGCAACTTGGAAGAGATCCTCAAAGATGTGGATGTGGTGATTGATTTTACTGCGCCTGTTGCCACTGAACATAATTTAAAACTATGCAGTGCTGCTGGTGTTGCGATGGTGATTGGTACAACGGGTTTTTCGGATCAACAAAAAGAGCTATTAAATCAATCTGCCACTCAGACACCGATTGTTTATGCTGCAAATTATTCAGTGGGTGTGAATGTTTCGATTAAATTACTTGAGTTGGCAGCTAAAGTATTTGGCGATACTGTGGATATTGAAATTATTGAAGCACATCACCGTCATAAAGTAGATGCACCATCAGGTACTGCACTGATGATGGGTGAAGCTGTTGCTGACACACTGGGTCGTGATTTAAAGAAAGTTGCTGTCTATGGTCGTGAGGGGCATACAGGTCCACGTGAACGTGAAACCATTGGCTTTGAAACGATTCGTGGTGGTGATATTGTGGGCGAACATACAGTGATGTTTATTGGCGAAGGTGAGCGTGTGGAAGTGACACATAAAGCCACGAATCGTATGAATTTTGCTGCCGGTGCTGTACGTGCAGCTGCTTGGGTTGTCGGCAAAGATGCAAAAAAATACGATATGAAAGACGTTTTAGGCTTAAATGATATTTAAGCTTAAAATCTGATGCGATAGAATTAAAACAATTAGTCAAATTTTGAACATTCAAAAATGAAAAAAACAGTGATGTTATTTGCTTGTGTAATCAGTGCTTTTGGCCTGACTACACAAGCTGCTTTACCAAGCAATGCCAAATTGAGTTTAAATAAAAATAACATTCAGGTATGGACATACAAGGATGCCAGTAATTCTGTGTTGTCTTATAAAGCTGAAACAACATTAGACGTGCCGATTGATCGTGCTGTTGCTTTGGTATTGGATGTTAAAAACTCACCGAAATGGGTCCCCAATGTTGCCAAAGCTGAAGTGTTATCTCGCGATGATAAAAAAGGTGAATTCAGCATTTATATGGTTTTAGATTTTCCCTTTCCGTTAAAAGATCGCGATATGGTGGTCAAAGGAACCATGTCTAAAGATGCAAATGGCAGTATTTTTATTAAAAATTCTGCGATTCAGCAAGGTAAAGCACTGAATCCTGACTATGTGCGTTTAAAAGATTATTCAGGTGATTGGACCTTTCAAAAACTGGGTGCCAATAAAGTCAAAGTCATTACCTCTGGACACGCCAATCCCGAAGGCTCTATTCCTGCCAGCTTAACCAATATTTTGGTCGAACAGCAGCCTTATCAGATGTTGCAGAAAATGAAAACAGAATTGGCAAAGAATAAACCCTTTGCAGCTTTGCCTGATATTTTAAAATAGGCATTGTTTGATCAATAATCCTGAAGCAGACCCTATTGACGAAACAACTTTATATTCGAAAAAATAATGCTTAGCAGATCTTTCCATTTAACTATTGAAAGTAACCTTTCTTAAGGTATTGATGTAGAAAGAAAGGTTACTTGCAGTCTTTGTCACGATTGTTAATCGCTAGGCTGAATGGCTATATTGTTGTACAGGTGCTTTATTCATTTTCATTTGAATAAAAACCAGCACTAGCCCTAAAGCTGTGAGTACCGCACCTGCAATAGACACCGCAGCATAACTCATGCCCATACTCAATACTGCGCCACCAGCTGTTGCACCTAAAGCATTGCCTAAATTAAATGCCCCAATATTCACAGAGGATGCCAATCCAGGTGCTTCATGAGCAACAGACATGACACGCATCTGTAAAGGTGGGACCACTGCAAAGGCTGCTGCTCCCCAGACAATCAGTGCCAATGCTGCACCAATTTGAGTTTGAGCCAGTATAGGGAACAGCAACATGCTCACCATCAGTAACAGCAAGAAACTGGTCAATGTTTTGGTCAGTGACAAGTCTGCAAATTTCCCACCTAAGTGATTACCAATTGAAAAACCAATTCCAATCAGTACCAGCATCAAGGTAATAAACATCGGGCTGGCATGGGTGATGTTTTGTAGGCTAGGCGCAATATAGGTATAGAGGGTAAACATTGCACCTGCACTCATCACCGTGGTGAGCAATGCAAGAACCACAGGCAGCCGAGTCAGCACTTTTAATTCTGCTTTGACATCAGGACGTTGGCTTGCTTTATCTTCAGGCAAGGCTTTCCATAGTGACAGCATAGTAATCACGCCGAGTAAGGCGATTGCTGCAAATGACATACGCCAGCCAATATTCTGCCCAACCCATGTGGCTAAAGGCACACCACCGATGTTGGCAATGGTGAGGCCCATAAACATGGTGGCAACTGCACTGGCTTGTTTGTCTTTAGGTACGACGCTTGTTGCAACAATGGAACCAATCCCGAAAAATACCCCGTGATTGAGACTGGTCAGGATTCGAGCGGCCATTAAGCCCCAATAATTGGGGGCAATTGCAGCAAGAATATTACCAATGGTAAAAATAATCATGGCTAAAATAAGCGCTTTACGTCGTGGAAACCGTCCAAACCATAAGGTCATAAACGGTGCACCAATCATGACACCGAGTGCATATGCGGTGATCAGCATACCTGCGGTTGGGATTGAAATATTCAAATTTTCTGCAATTTGGGGAAGAAAGCCCATAGGAGAAAATTCTGTTGTTCCTATTGCAAAAGCACCAATCGCTAATGCGAGTAAGGGAAAATTTAATTTCATGAGGAATCTCAAATATACAGCATATTGAAAATGATGGGGTGTAACAGCGTTTGGTCAATCACTGGGATGGTCATTTACTTTTCAGCCGCTATTTTGATGAAGTGACAAAATAAAGCTTCGCAAGAAAATAATCTTGCGAAGCAATCTAAGTCATGATCAAAAGGCGGTAAAGCCTGTTTCGAAGCCTAGTAAGCAAAAACCTAGCAACCAAACTTTACTCATCAAAGCCTGAGCCAAGATTTGCGCTGCTTTAAATCACTTTTACTCAATTAGTGAATTAAACATCCCACTGAGGTGCTAAGTTTTCAGGATCAACCTCACGGCCATTACGTTCCAATTGTGCGATTAATTGCATTTCTTCAGCAGATAACTGAATCTCTTGTGCTTTTAAGTTGGCGATTAAGTTTTCACGTTTAGTCGATGACGGAATGACAGCAAAGCCTTTCTGCAATGCCCATGCCAATGCAATTTGAGCGCTAGAAGCCTGATGCTGTTTGGCAATTTCAGTTAATGTTGGGTCATTTAAAACTTTGCCATACGCCAAGGTCATATAAGAGGTCACATCAATATTTTGTGACTGTAAAAAATTCACCAACTTATCATTTTGCAAATAAGGGCTAAGTTCAATTTGGTTGGTGGCAATATTTTCAAGTCCTACAGCAGCGATGGCTTGTTGCGATAAGTCGATATTGAAGTTTGAAATTCCAATATGTTCAGTTAGACCCAGCTTTTTCGCTTCTAATAGGTTATGCATCATTTCTGCAACAGAAATTCCGAGACTTGGCGCTGGCCAGTGAATCAAGGTTAAGTTGACTGCATCAGTACCCAGTTTCTGTAAGCTGTCTTTAAGACTTGGAATAAGTTTGTCGGCTTGATAATGATCTGTCCATATCTTTGTTGTGATAAATAAATCATCACGATGGATATGGCTTTCAGCAATGGCCTGACCGACTTCTGCTTCGTTGCCATAGATTTGAGCAGTGTCTACAGCACGATAACCAACGTCTAAGGCTGTTTTGACCGAGTCAATCACAGTTTGTCCTGTTAAACGGAAAGTACCGACACCAAATTGAGGAACGATGTTTGTCATGCTGGATTTCACTTTATTTTCTGAGATTGAGTGTATTTTGCTACTTTAATTGTTGCGGAAAAATACAGGAATATGCAAAATATTATTGACTAGAAATCAACAATAAGCAGAGCGCTGACAGCAATGAAATCTACACTCGAAGAATTACAGGCTTTTATTAATATTGTTGATAGTGGTTCGATTGTTGCAGCAGCAACGCATCTTGAACAAACCACTTCAGGTGTAAGTCGAGCCTTGCAACGACTTGAATCTAAACTGAATGTCACCTTATTAGAGCGGACAACACGTAAACTTAAGTTGACCCAAGAGGGGCAATTATTTTTAGCAAAAGCCCGAAAAATTGTGCATGACCTCAATGAAGCAGAAGATGCTTTATTAAAATCTGACAGTGATACATCTGGGCTGATTCGCGTGGATTCCGCGACACCTTTTGTATTACATGTGATTGCACCGTTGATGCAAGAGTTTTCTCAGTTGTATCCTGAAATAGAAATAGAGTTAAACAGTAACGATCAGATCATCGATTTATTAGAACATAAGACAGATGTTGCAATACGTTTTGGTGATCTTAATGATTCGAGCTTACATGCGCGTTTGTTGTGTAAAAGCCGATTATATATCGTTGCCAGTCCTGAGTATTTAGCTACACATGGTTATCCAGCAACACCGCAAGATATTTTAAATCATACCCAAATTGGCTTTAGCAAAGTCAGCCGTTTAAATACTTGGCCGATTCGAGTCAATGGAGAAAGGCTTACTGTCAAACCAAAAATCAAAGCATCCAGTGGTGAAACTGTCCGTCAACTGTGTTTACGCGGGCATGGAATTGCGAGATTGTCTGAGTTTGAGATTTTAAAAGATATAAAGCAAGGACGCTTGATTGCTCTATTTGAAGATCAAATAGAGCTTTATGAGCAACACATCCATGCAGTGTATTATCAACAGGAACATTTACCAAAGCGTGTCCGTTTATTTATTGAGTTTTTAACGCAAAAGCTGTCAAAGTTTCGATAGTCTTTTGTGGTGGTAAATCCAGACTCAGTAAAGTTTGGCTACTGGGTTTTTGTGGATTGACCAATTGGATTTCAAAATGATCAGTTGCTGTCTGAAGACATTTAAACGCCAAGTCTTTTTGCACCGGGATATTAATCTTCATCCGTTGATCACTACTGGCATGGTAGCGGTAGTTTCGCACAGCTGCAGTCTGGTGTAAGGTGGGTTCTAGATGATCAAGCTGATACTCAGCTAAATTTTGTGTTTTTAAAAAGCCTTCAATCAAAGATTTACATACAAAATGTTGTTTCTGAGCAGCTTGATTGACCTGCTGAGGCTGGCAAGCAGTTAATCCAAAGACAATACTGATTAAAGCGATCGTTCTCATTTTTTTCTCCTTTCAAATCAATTTGTTTGTAAAAATTGGCTGTGAATGAAGCATAAATCTGTTAACTTTATAGATACAGATACAACAAATATTAAAATTTGAGTACAGATATGGCTTTTCAATATCAAACATTAGCACAACAAATTGCACAGAAAATTTATTGTGGAGAGTTGGCCGTTGGGCAACGTCTGAGCTCTTTGCGAAAATTTGCAGCATTGCAAAATATTAGTCTCAATACAGCAAAGAGTTGTTATGAATTGCTTGAAGCGCAAGGCTTGATTTACGTCAAAGAAAAGTCTGGCTATTTTGTTCAATCGCAGCAAAAAGCCCCACAGATTGCTGTACCTGACCATCCTGATTTTAAGTCGAGAGCGCGTGAGGTTTCAAATCTAGACTTACAAATTCAAATTCATGAAGCAGCAATCAATAATAAACTGATCCATTTAGGTTCGATTCAGTTATCGCCTAATTTAGTTCCTGTAGAGGCCTTACGCCGTTCAATACAACGTGCTTTAAAGCACAGTAAGCCAGAAGACTTTTTATATAATGACCGCCAAGGGCACCTTCAGTTAAGAGAGGCATTGTCAGCACATTGGGCTGAAGATGGTTTTTATATTGCCAAAGAAGATATTTATATCAGCAATGGTTGTATGCCGGCATTGTCTGTGATGATTCAAAGCCTGAGCCAAATCGGTGACAGTGTGATTGTACCCACGCCAAACTATAATGGTCAGTTGCAATTATTGGCGTTGCTCAAACGAAAAATTATTGAAATCCCTGCCAATACCGAAGGTTTTGATCTGGAGCGTTTAGAACAAGAGATGCAAAACTCAGCTGCAAAAGTCTGTTTATTAACCGCCAACTTTCAAAACCCTTTAGGCTTCTGTTTGACTAATGCCGAGAAAGAAAAAATCGCACAGCTGGCAGCGAAGTATCAGTGTTACGTGATTGAAGATGATATTTATGCTGAATGTAGCTTTAATGCCAAACGCCCTTTACCGATTAAATATTGGGATCAACAGGGCTATGTAGTTTATTGCGGATCGGTTTCCAAGTCGTTGTCGACCTCTTATCGAGTCGGTTGGTTCTGTTTGCCACAACGTTTACAGCACTTACATGCCAAGTTGATTTTACAAAATGTTTCGGTCAATACACCATTGCAATTGGGTCTTGCTGATTTGATTTATAGCCGAGCCTATCGTCAGCATTTGAGTGAGTTACGCCCTAAGTTGATGGCTCAAGTTGCGCAATATTTACAGTTTATTCAACATGCTTTTTATGGGGTTGAGATCCGTTTAAATCAACCGCAGGGAAGTTATGCCTTGTGGTTACAGTTCCCAGAACAGATTGATAGCTTGGCGTTGTATTATTATGCACAGCAATACAGTATCAATATTGTGCCAGGGATTATTTTTGGTGAGGATCACCGTTATAACAATTGTATTCGCTTAAATGCAGGCCATGAATTGTCTCAGGAAATTCAGGATGCAATTATGTTATTGGCAGATTGGGTAAGGGGGGAATTGTCAGCCAAGAGTGTGGCTTAAACTGATTTGTGAGTAAATGCATAGCCCGACAGCCTTATTCCATTCACGGTTCTTGATAAACCGTGATGGATGGTCAGACTTAAATTAGAAATCCGCTTTTAATACGATACGATAACGAGCTTTTCCAGAGTGAAGTCGCTCCAAAGCCTCATTAATTTTTGACATTGGATAAACTTCAATTTGTGGTGCAATATTTTTGCGTGCGGCAAATTGTAATAATTGACGCAATGCAAAAGGGGAGCCTGTTGGTGAACCAGTCACTGATTTTGCACCGCCAATCAGTGCACCCGCTGGAATCGGCATCGGTTCGAGGACTAAACCTAGCATATGAATTGTGCCATTTGGCGCCAGTGTATTGAGATATGCTTTCCAGTCCAAACTCACATTTACCGTACAGAGCAATAAATCAAATTTGCCACGTTGTGCTTTTAAAGCATTGGCATCGCGACTATTGACCACATGGTCTGCACCCATCGCTTTAAGTTCATCTGTTTTATCCAAACTCGATGTAAAGGCAGTGATCTCACAACCCCACGCTTTGAGTATTTTAATGGCCATATGACCTAAGCCACCAATCCCAATCACACCAACATGGTGAACTGCTTGAATTTGATGTTTTAAGATTGGGTCAAAAACAGTGATACCACCACACAATAAAGGGCCAGCACTTTCAGGGTTTAAATCTTCAGGAAAAGGAATAATCCACTGCCAACCTGCACGGACCTTATCTGCAAACCCGCCTGCATGACCAACGATAGTTGCAACTGAACCCCCTGTGCAAAGCACTTGTTGACCACTAACACATGGATCACAGTGCTGACAACTTTCCGCAGTCCAACCGATACCGACACGTTGACCGACTTTTAATCCTTTCGCTTCTGAACCCAGCTGAGTGATGGTACCGATAATTTCATGACCGCCAACCACTGGGAAAACTGAATTTCCCCATTCATTGTTAATCACTGAAACATCGGAATGGCATAAACCGCAATATTCAACTTTGACTTCGACCTGATGAGGCTGTAATTCACCTGCATCAAATTGATAGGGCACAAGTGCTGCACCTGCCTCTAAGGCAGCATAAGCATGAAACGTATTATTTGACATGTGAATCCTTCCTGTTTGCTCAGTTAAACTTTTAGCGGGATATACAATCATTTTCATGGTCATTGACCATACCCACTGCTTGCATAAAGGCATAGCAAGTGGTTGGACCAACAAATTTAAAACCATTCTTTTTTAACGCTTTGGAAAGCTTTTGACTGGTTTCGGTTTGTGCCGGTGCTAATTTATAATCAGGGACATCATTGAGTTGTACTTGCTGGTCGACGAAATCCCATAACCAGTTCACCATATCGATGTCTTGAGCTTTCATGTTTTGCCATGCAATGGCATTGTCACGAATTGCCGTTAATTTCCCGATATGGCGAATCAGCCCAGCATCCTGACATTTTAGTGCAAGCTCTTGTTCAGTAAAATTGGCGATGGTTTGAATCGGGTGGTTAAAAAATTGGGCGCGGTAGCTTTCACGCTTTTTTAAAACAGTAATCCAAGATAAACCTGCTTGTTGCCCCTCTAGGCAAAGCATTTCAAATAAATGCTGTTCATCTCGATTGGATTTACCCCACTCTTGATCATGATATTCAATATAAATAGGATCATCTGAACACCAACCACAGCGTTTATTTGTCATAAAAGATCTACCATTGTTCTGATTGATTTAAGTTTTAATTGTCTAAAGTTTAAATTCGACCCACTGATCTTGTTTGTTGTCCCAATAGGAAAGTTGCGCATGTTGTAAATCTTTAAAATTTACCCAAATATCTTTACCCGCTTTGTCTGCAAAGCCAGTACTGATCATTAATGCTTCATCGGTGATTTCCATAATCCAGCCTTGATGATTTTGTCCATTGAGGGCAATTTTTTGTTGATTGCCTGATTCTGCAAATTCAACTAAACGCTCAAGCAATGCTTCTGACATGGAATATTCCTAAATTGATTCAATCTAAAATTAACGTAAATAAGGGTAGGGGTTGACTGCACCTTGGCCTTTACCTCTTAAGTATAGTCCATAGTGCAAATGCGGTGCAGTATGTCGTGCATTTCCAGTATTGCCCACATAGCCGATTAACTGACCTTTTTTAACGTAATCGCCTTCTTGTAGACCACGTTTGTGATCGTTTAGATGAGCATAATAGTGATAAACACCACCTGGTCCGATGAGCCAAATCACTTTACCCCCCAGATTATTGCTCTTTAAGCTGGCAATCACACCTTCAGTACTACTATAAACTTTGGTTCCACGTGAAGCCATGATGTCAATTCCTTCATGTGCTCGCCCAGCACTGCGAGATGCACCCCAAGTATCTGTGAGGTTTTGTGGTTTTACTCCATCTACAGGAATTGCCAATCGGGTTGGCATTGACATTGCTTTTAGGCGGTTAATTTGAGCTTGTGGAAGCTGTGGCTTAGATGAGCTTGGCTTTTTAGGTGCAGTAGTACATGCAGTTAAAATAATGGCAAGCACGGCCATCAAGCAATATTGGATGCTACGTGACACGAGAAATCCTTCTTTTCAAGTTTCAAAAGGGCAAATTAAAATTGAAATATGCTTAGAATACCCGTGTCTGACTATGTCATATTTTTACTGCTGAGATCAATTTTTTCATGGCTGTAGGGATGCCCATTTGTGTAGCTTTTTGTGGTGTTAACCATTCGCCCCCAAGTTCAGCCTGAAGATATTCTTTTTGGTCTGATTCAACTCGAACAATATGCGCATTTAAAATCCATGTGAAATGGGTAAAGCTATGCGAGATTTGGACAGGTTCAACAGTTGAAATAAGTTTTAGACTTTGACAAAGCTGTTGAAACGCGAGCTCATTTTCAAAAATCGGTAAACTCCATAAGCCTCCCCATAAACCACTGTTAGGACGCTGCTCCCATAACCATTGTTGATCTGACTCAATTAATAACACTGTGGCTGTTCTAACGGGAACAGGCTTTTTAGCTTTCTTATAAGGCAGTTCAGTTTCTAGCCCTTGTTGATGGGCTTGGCAATGTTGTTGCATAGGGCAGTATAAGCAGAGTGGCTTTTTAGGCGTGCAAATGGTTGCACCCAAATCCATAATTGCTTGGGTATAGTCATGGTTGCGTTCAGTTGGGCATAAACTTTCCGCCAGTTGCCACATGGCTCGTTCATGGATGGGTTTACTCAGGTCATCTTCAATGGCAAAGAAACGGGCCAAAACACGTTTTACATTGCCATCCATAATGACGCCATATTGGCGTAAGCCAAGCGACATCAGTGCGCCACCAGTAGAGCGACCAATACCTGAAAGTTCCACCCATTGTTCTAAGCTTTGTGGGAAATGCCCTTGTTGGCTGACCACGCCTGCTGCTTTATGCAAATTGCGTGCACGGGCGTAGTAGCCTAATCCTGCCCAATAGGGGGCAACATCATCCCATGAGGCTTTACCCAAATCATCGACAGTCGGAAAGCGTTGGATAAATTTATCAAAATATTGCAGTACAGTTTTGACTTGGGTTTGTTGCAACATAATCTCAGACACCCAAACTTTGTATGGATCATCAGCCACTTGCCACGGTAAATCATGGCGCCCGTGTTGATCAAACCAAGTCAATAGCGCATCTGAAAATGAAAATTGCGACATAACAATCTAGCGTAAAAATTGGATGCTCAGTATAACCAAGATAAATTTATTGCGGAAAATTATCTTAAACTTGAGCAGCAATTTGCATAAAAAAAGACGCCAAAGCGTCTTTTCAAAAGCGTTTATAGCCACAACTTAGTTTTCGTTGATGATACCCCAACGCTTATCCAGTTTAAGCGGTTCGTTTTTATAACGTGGGATAATGTGAATATGGAAATGTTCACTTTGATCTTCACCAAACACATGACCATCATTAAAGGCGATATGGAAACCTTCAGGTTGATGGCGAATCTTAAGCTCGTTACGTGCCAGTTCCAATAAAGAGGAAAGGCTTTTACGTTCTTTCTCTGAAACCTCAAAAAAAGAAGCAATATGGCGCAAAGGAATAATCACTGAATGACCTTTAGACAAAGGGTTATGTTCAGGCAAAATTGCACCAAATTCATTTTTATCAATGATATCAAATTCTTCAAAGTCACAATAAGGACATACTTTTTCAGTCATTTCTAATCCCTCGTTTTGTTGTCTTAATCAACGTAGAACATATTTTAATTAAGCCAGAGTAGGTTAAGCCAAGGTGCGATCTAATAAATCATACATTGCTGCTAATCCTGCTTTTTCTGCTTCGGCGTTATAACCTAGATCTACGCCATTGGCTTTTGCTTTTTCATCTGCTTGTGGGTTACTAAAGCCATGTTTAGCATCTTTCAGGATGATCACTTCAGATTTTACCTGAGCATGCTGCATTTCTTGTTTAAACGATTCGACATCTGCCAAAGACACCATGCTGTCTTTTTCACCATGTAGCACTAAAACTTGCGCTTTAAATTTTTCTGCTTCCGCTGCTTTTTGCGCAGATAAATTTGCATGGAAAGTAATCGCAGTTTTTAAGTCAGCACCTGAGCGTGCCAAATCTAATATCACTTTACCACCATAACAGAATCCAATCGCAGCCAAACGCGTTGCATCGACTTCTGGTTGTGCTGCTAAAGCAGCCAAAGCCGCGGCTGAACGCTCAACAATGGTTTGCTCATGTTGGAAGGTTTGCATCATCCACTCATGGGCTTGAGTCGCAACAGCCGTGGTTTTTTTATCGCCATACATATCAATTGCCAGCGCAGCAAAACCATGTTGTGCCAACTCTCGAGCACGTTGTTCAGAATACTCATTTCGACCCCACCATTCTGGACCAACAATCACACCTGCAACTGGTTGTGCGGATTCAGGTGCAGCAAAATAACCGATTAAAGTTGTTCCATCTTTTGCTTGATATTGAATTTCACGAGTTTTGATTGCAAGAGTCATCTGTTAATCCTTGTGTATCGGCGAGAATGAGATTGATTAAAGCATAAATATATAAGATTCAAATGACTAAATTTCGAATATTTACAATAGAAATGTGAAAATTTATGAATGAAAAAGATCGTTTTCAAATGAAAAAGAGAAGAACCAAGGTTCTTCTCTTTTATGAAAATTGATCAGGAAAAGCTAAACTTTTCCCCTCGAAATAAAACCAACAATCGCGAGGATTACCGCGACAACGAGAAGAATGACTGCGAAGTCTTTAGACATTCCCGCAACACCACCAAAACCAAATAAACTTGCGATTAAGGCGATCACAGCGAAAATAATTGCCCAACGAAACATAAGATTCATCTCCATATTTTTGTTATGTATTTTCAGTATAGGCAGAAAAATCTGAGGGACTTGTGAAGTTGTGTTTAAAAAGTGTGATTAATAAAGCAATATGTAAAGGTTTGTTCTGTTTTAAATTTTCTAATTTCTGCTTATATACTGATATAATTATTTCGCCTTAAATGACTTTAATGTTATGCCATGACCTTTGAGATCCGCCCCCAGTTTTGGAAGAATTATACACTGTCTGAGTTAAATCCGACCGAGTGGGAAGCGTTGTGCGATGGTTGTGGGCTGTGCTGTTTGGTGAAATTAGAAGATGATGACACACATGAAATAGCCTATACCAAAGTGTCTTGTAAACTCCTCGATTGTGAAACAGCACAATGTTCTGACTATCCTAATCGTTTAGATTATGTACCCGACTGTATTCAATTAAGCCCTGAAAAATTAGCCAATATTCATTGGTTACCTTCAAGTTGTGCTTATCGTCGGGTGAATGAAGGTAAAAATTTACCGGCATGGCACTATCTGATCACAGGCTCAAGAAGCAATGTGATTAAAGCCAGAAAATCTGCTGCTGGGCGTTGTATCTCCGAAACAGAAGTCAATGAAGAAGAAATCGATGAATACATTGTAAGATGGGTGCGGTAAATCATTTGAATCAATTATGAATTGATAATCATTATCAAATAGTAATATGATAGGCAAACTCTTCAGTTTGATGTGTTTTAAAATGTTTGCTTTATCTTGGTTATTCAAAAAAAGTACATTCTGTTTATGTGCAATCAGCCTGAGTTTCGGTATTCACTCCAATGTTTATGCAAAACCAGATTTGCAAGCTTTAGGGCCAAATATTGCGGAGCAAGGCTCCAGTTATTATCAATTCCAAATAAAAAATTTTCAATCCGCAGATCAACAACGGCATTATAAAGTTTGGGTCGGCATTCCTAAACATATCAATAAAAATAAGATCTTACCTGCTGTTTATATGTTAGATGGCAACTCTGCTATGGCGCGTTTAGATGAGTCACTGTTAAAAAAACTATCCGAACAAGACAGCCCCGTGTTGGTGGCTATAGGCTATCAAACCCAGTTACCGTTTGAGTCCGCTTCACGGTCTGTAGACTACACACCTGCCGATGAATCTGGGAAAGTGTCGGCTGACCCACGCAATCCTGAACGTATGGCAGGGGGAAGTGCACAATTTAGACAGGTGCTGTTTGAAAAAATTATGCCGTGGGTCAATACGCAAGTAAAACTGGATAAGCAACGTACCGCATTATGGGGACATTCTTATGCTGGTTTATTTGTTTTAGATACCCTTTTAAATAGTCAAAGCACAGATAATAAGTTTTCACACTATTTTTCAGCCAGTCCATCTCTCACATGGGCAGATTCTCGATTACTCAAAGCCGTTGAAAAAGCCCCGCCTGAGCAATTAAAAAATAAAAAATTATGGGTGATGGAAGGTGACATCATTCAGTCTACAACTGGACCAATCAGCCCAAATGCAGATCGGGACATGATTCAAAATAACCGTCAATTGGTTTTAGATTTGGCCAGTAAAGGCGTAGATGGCAAATTAATGCTTTATCCACATCTTAGTCATGGTCAAGTATTTCAGGCCTCGTTAATGGATGTTTTGCAGAATCGATTATTTTAAAGCTGAAAGTGCAATATTGATGATTTTCCATAGTAGACTAAGGACAGCATTCATCAATTAAAAAAGCAGTATGTCAGACACTCAAATTCCGCTTCCAGAACGTTTACGTCCACGTGATTTGTCTGAAATTATTGGGCAAGATCATTTACTCGGTGTCGCAGCACCACTCCGTCAAATGATTGATCAAGGGCATTTACCCTCGATTATTTTTTGGGGGCCGCCTGGTGTTGGAAAAACCACCATCGCATTGTTATTGGCTCAAGCAGTCGATCGTACATTTATTAGCTTATCTGCCTTAAATACAGGGGTAAAAGAGCTCCGTGAGGTGATTGCTGACAGTGGTGATTTATTAACACCGGTGGTGTTTATTGATGAAATTCATCGTTTTAATAAGTCGCAACAAGATGCTTTATTGAATGCGGTTGAAAAAGGCAAAATTACCCTGATCGGTGCGACCACTGAAAACCCTTCATTTGAAGTCAACAGTGCTTTGCTGTCTCGTTGTCAGGTGTATACCTTAAATGGATTAAGTAATGAGGCGATTCAAGAACTCATTTTACGCGCGATTCAACAAGATAAATTTTTAAAAGACCGCCATATCCAGATTGAAGAATTTGATGCATTGGTTCAGTTTGCTGCGGGTGATGCACGTAAGGCACTTAATTTAATCGATTTAATTGCCAGTACCTTTGAGTCCGATATTGAAAATATTGTGACCAATGCGATTGTGGTCAAAGTTGCGCAACAGAATATTGCACGCTATGACAAATCAGGTGAGCAACATTATGATCTTGTGTCTGCGTTTATTAAATCTATTCGAGGTAGTGATCCTGATGCAACGTTGTATTGGATGGCTCGTATGCTTAAAGGCGGTGAAGATCCGGTTTTTATCGCTCGTCGTATGTTGATCGCTGCTTCAGAAGATATTGGTAACTCAAATCCAAATGCCTTGCTTTTAGCGGGCGAATGTTTCCGCTCGGTTCAAGCGATAGGCATGCCTGAGTGTCGAATTATTTTAGGCCAATGCGCAGTTTATCTGGCAACCAGTGCAAAGAGTAACAGCACTTATTTGGCGATCAATAAAGCCTTAGAACTTGCAGAAAAAACGTCCAACCTACCTGTGCCACTCCATTTACGTAATGCACCGACCAAGCTCATGAAACAACAAGGCTATGGTGTGGATTATCTTTATCCTCATAACTACCCTGAAAATTTTGTGCTACAGGAATATTTACCACCTGAATTGAAAGGCACAAAATTATATGAGTCTGCTCGTAATAAGCGTGAAGTTGAAGGTGAGCGTTTACAGCAACGTCGTTGGCAACAAGAACAGCAGCAACAGTAGTTGTGAAGTTTATTTGCTTAGGCATCTTTTAAATAGATGTTCTATTTTATATAAAGGTTTAAAATATCGGCAAAATTTAAATTAGGCTGACATCATTTTAGAAATACGCTTGAGCAAAGTGCTTCTAAATGGTTTAGAAATTTTATGAAATTATCCGTTTTATCTTTTGTTGTTTTAATTTCTTTGCCGATGTTGAGCCATGCTGAGCTTGCAAGTAAAATTTCGGCAAAAACTCAGCCTAAACTTGCTTCGCAGCCGCTTAAAACACTTTATCAACAAAGTTTTGTTCAGCAAAAAACAATCCCTCAAGGCTGGCGCATTCCTGGCAACAATGCCGGCAATGTCTATGTTGAAAATGGGATACTTCATGTTGATGGTCGAGCAAATTCAGTCAGTCCGACCTCAATTTTATTACCGCAAGATCTTGAAAAACAGCAAAATTATCGCATTGATCTCGAATTTACTTTAGACCAAGCTGTCAATAACTCGCGTTGGGGCAGTGTGATTTATGATGTCACAGAAACTCAGGGGGTGATTCCAAGCAGTTATTATCAATTTACCCTCAGAACAGATACCACTGCAAAAAATGGTACGGAGTTTGGTCGTCATAAAAGTAACGGGCAGTGGGAGGTCTCTGAAACGAAAGCATTTTCGGAGAACATCAAAGCAAATCAATGGTATAAAGCCAGCATTGTGGTGTCTGGACAACGGGTACAACACTATTTAAACCACCAGTTAATGCAGGACGTAGAACTTGACCAAGGATCTGCCAAAGGCGGCATCGGGCTTTCAGCAACAGGCCTAGTCTTAAAAGTTAAAAATATTCAAGTCTCTGAACAAACCAGTGCATTGCCAGACTTAGCCAATAAAGTCACCCAAGTACAAGAAATTCAAACTAATGTCGTTTTGGCACCGACGCTAATTCAAAAAGTTAAAAATACCAGCAGTCCATTAAATTCAACTAATCAGTTATATTATCAATTAGATGCCAATTTAAACTTGCTTGATCAGACAGGGAAGGTGGTTGAAACATTACAACAATATTTGGTGAATCCACAGCGCAATACCATCCCTGTTTTAGAAATCAAAGATCCCAAAAGTATTGAAGCCTTAAAATTACTCTCTAAATCTCACGATATAAGCGATATTACTGTATTGTCCAAAAGTGATGATTTACTCAAGTCTGCGCATCAAATTGTACCTACGCTTCGAACAGCATTAGATTTAAGTCGCGAAAATTTAAAGGAGAGTCATGTAGGTCTTTCTGAAATTATGCGCCGTAGCAATCAGGCCTATGCACGCATCGTGGTTCTTCCGCATAGCTTTGCTAACAAATCGAGTGTCAGCTTTATTCAACGTCATTTAATGACAGTGTGGGTTGATACACCAGCACATGATCCGCAGGATGTCGCCAGTATTTTGACTTCAGGTGTGAATGGGATTATTACAACGCAAAGTACGCTATTTGCCAGTGTCTTAAAACAATTTCCAAAAAATACACTATTACGTAAACCCTTTATTATTGGGCATCGTGGTGTACCCAGTTTAGAAGATGAAAATACGTTAGAAAGTGCAAAACATGCAGTTGCTTTGGGAGCAGATATTGTTGAAAACGATATTTATTTAACCAAAGACCAGCATCTTGTAGTGATGCATGATGCAACAGTGGATCGCACTACGCGTTCAACAGGTAAAATTGAAGAAATGAGCCTTGCGCAGGTTCAGCAATTAAAATCTAAAAACAAAGCTTATCCAATACCGACCCTTGCAGAATATTTCACTACATTTAAGCACAATCCAAACTTTGTACTGATGATCGAAATGAAAAGTGCCAATCCAGCATTGGTTGCAAAAATGCAGGATGAAATTAAAAAGCACCAAGTTGAAAATCAAGTCGTCACGACCTCATTTAATGCAGATCAAGTTGCACGTGCACAGTCACAATTGTCTGAGATACCACGAGGGTTATTGGTTGGAAGTATGCCCAATAGCCGCAATACTTTAATTGCCGCCAAACAAATCAATGCCGATGTTCAGAAATATAATTCAACGTATAACCCAGCTTATCGTGCTGATTTGATCAATCTTTTAGAAACAACCAAGCACCGTGGAATCAGTTTTTGGCCTTGGGCATTGAATGATGAAACATTTAAAAAATTATATATTGCAGGGACCTACGGAATAACCACCAATTCTGCGCAACTTTATTCGAAATACATCGTTGATATTCAAGCACCCAAGAATGTCAAAGTAAAAGCTGAACAGCCAGTATTACTCAATGCGCAATTGGTTCAGCAAGATGGAGCGAAACTCAATCAGCAACTCAGCAATTTTGTCGTTTTATCAGGTTCTGCAAAACATGAGATTAAAAATGGTCAGTTGAGTTTCTCTGAAAAGGGCACTGCATATGTTTTGGCTGGTTATAAATATCAGATTGATGCACAAAACTTCTATCAAATCTTTTCAGCCCCTATAAAGGTCATCATCCAATAGCTTATTTTATGGCATCTGTTTGAAATGGGAGTTTTACATCTTTGGGGAAATTTGGAAAAAGTGTAAACAGCATCTGAGGATTATTTTTTAGTCCTGCACCGTCCAGATAGGTCCATTGATGTGATTGTAGTGAACGAATGGCGACCATAAATGAGGGCGATGCTGCTTGAATTTGACCTGCAACTTTCATGGTGATGGTTTTGGGTACAAAGCAAATTTCTTCATGATCTACGATATAGCTATAAAGTGGCGGCTTTGATTGTACATTGACAATTTCTACCTGTGATTTGGCAAGCAGATTTTGAGCGTATTGAAGCAGCTGCTGATAAGCTTCTGCACCACCAACATAATTGATCAGAGATGGATGGGTTTTTTGTTGCATAAATGAATAATCATTTTTCTTTAAATCTTGTCCTAATTGATCTAAGTCAGACGCAATAATTTTAGGATAATCTTGCTGACAGCTTAACTCTTCCGCCTGTGCAGGATTTAAAATGATCAAGAATAAAATGACAGCATAAATTGTTTTTATCATGTTGGATTAAATCTGAATATCGTTTGTTTTGAGTATATAAGTTTCTTAAAAAAAGTTCATCAGCAATCCAAAGCTTACCGATACTCGCTGATCCAACAGGAAATTTTGTAACTAGTCTCTGTTCATCTCTGAAAAGTTAGGTAGCGTCTACGCAAATTGATTTAATTAAAATTATGAATGAAGAAAAATTATATTCTAGTGTATGTGTTTCTAAACAGGTTGAGGATATACCCAATAACGATACACATAAAAAAACCGAGTCATTCAACTCGGTTTGAAGCCCTTGGTTAACTTTAACCTCTACCACTTATAATTAATTTTGCCGTAATAGAACGCACCATTAAAGCCAAACGGTGAGAACTGGCTGTATTGCAAACTTCCACCAGTAGGTTTGTTGATGTCATAAACATCTTTATCAGGATAAACATTGGTAATGTTGTCTCCCCCAACAGTAAATTTCCAATTGTTTAATTGGTATGTCAGTGCTAAATCCAACAGCCATTTTGCAGAAAATTTCTGATCACTGGCAGCACCTGAGTTACTGTAAGTTTCGAAGCTTCCATAACGTGTGATATTGGTATTGATACCAAAATTTCCAATTTTATAATCATTGGCTAAACTGAATTTATGTTCAGGTGTGCTTCCGGCCAATAAACCATATTGTTCACGACGATCCAAACGGGTGAGGTTGACACCCAAGGCATTTAAAATCTCAGGGTTTTTATCGACATCGGTGACTTTATTGCGATTAAAATTATAAGCCAAAGATGTGGTTAACTCGCCATAAGGCAGGTTTTGCCATTGGTAATTGGCAACTAAATCTACACCACGAGTGCGGGTATTACTGGCATTATTAAAGAAACGAACCGTGCTGAAATTGGTATCGGTAATCCCTTTAGATACTAAATAAGCGCGAACAGCGGGGCTGCTGGCATTGATATTTGAAGATAAGCTAATGCGGTCATCAATATCAATTTGGTAGGCATCCAAAGTCACATATAGGTTTTTAGTCGGGGTAAATACCAAGCCAAGGCTATAGTTCTTTGATTTTTCAGCTTTTAAGTCTTCTGCGCCGAGCAATTGTGCAACTTGTGAAGAACTTGGAAATGTTCCAGCCTCAACAAACTGTCCATTGACCAATTGCGAAGAAGTTTGGGTGAAATATTGTTGTGCCAGACTCGGTGCGCGAAAGCCTGTAGAAACTGAGCCACGTACCGCAACTTGAGGTAAAAGTTTATAACGTAATGAAAGAGATGCATTATTGGTGTCCCCAAAGTCATCATATTTCTCATAACGATAGGCTGTAGATGCTGAAAGTTTTTGGGTAATATCTGTTTCTAAATCAAGATATCCAGCATAACTGTCACGTGTCCATTTCCCGGCATCTGCTTGACGAAAGCCTGATAAACCTGAAGAACCACTTTTATAATAAGAGGCAGGATTGCCTGCTTTGATTTGATATTGTTGATTTAAATACTGAGCACCAAACGCGACATTTAATGGACTTGCAAAAGCAGAGATCTCAAATTCTTTTGACAGATCAATATTATAAACAGCTTGAGTATTCTTTAACTGTCCATTATGGAATGAATTTGGTGTTGAACCTGTATCTTTGTATAGATCGACATTGATGGTTTTTGTATTTACATCATATTGGTTTAAGCCATAATTGGCTGAAACATCATAGCGCCAATCTGCGACTTCCCCACGTAAGCCTGCAACGGCACTAAAGTCATCTAATTGACCGCGAATCAGCGGTAAATAACCATTTGGAAATAATGCAGGTACATTGTTCGAGGCATTACTCAAACGATAGAACCCAGCAGTTTCTGCATTACGATGGCTATAGGTTGAAAAACCATATAATTCAACAGTATCACTAAGGTCAAAACCAGCATTAACAGAAGCTTTTACTTCATCTGATTTTGGATCACCAAAACGAAAAGTTCTTTGTCCGTATGTAGTGGCGTTTGGATCACGAAGGTCTAAACCTGCGCGATTGGTTGCTTCATTGTCCTGCCATTCACCAGAAAAAATGGCATAACCATAATTGCCCAGTTGAGTACCGCCCGAAACATAGGATTGTTTTTGTTCACCATCACCTTTGTCATAAATACCGTAGCGAATACCTGCATCACCTGTTTTAGGATCAGACTTTAAGATAATGTTGACGACACCAGCAATTGCATCTGAACCATAGCGAGCAGACGCACCTTCTCTAAGTACTTCAATACGGCTGATGGCAGAAATCGGAATGGCATTTAAATCGGTCGGTGCTGAACCGCGTCCAATGGTGCCCCCAAGGTTAATAAATGCCCCTGTATGGCGACGTTTGCCATTCACTAAAACCAAAACTTGATCAGGAGAAAGCCCTTTTAGTTGCACTGGGCGAACGAGTTCTGTTCCATCGACAACGGTTGGACGAGGAAAGTTAATCGAGGGGATAATTTTAGCCAGCGCCGTACCTAACTCACTTGAACCTGTACGTTCTGTCAATTCCGCTGCACTAATCACATCAATCGGTTGTAAGGAATCTGTTTTAGAACGTTTTAGCGAACGTGTACCTGTGACAACAATGGTATCAAGTTTTTTAACTTCTTGGGTGGCTGGAATCTGTTCCGCAGCGTATGCATGTGGATACAGAAATGTAAAAACTAAGCTGGCGGTCAGGCTTAATGAATATCGTTTTGATAATGTACGCATAACTCTATTTTGTAGCTCTTTTTGTAACGGTTTGTTGTGATCATAGTGAGCTTGAGATTATTTAGAAAACAACTTTTAAAAATATAAATAGAATAAAATCTGCAAAGTGTATGGTTATTTAAAGTGTTCTCAGTTTAGAAATCTAGATTTTATCATGCGATGTTTTATGGGAAGTTTGATACACAATCTTTTGAAATTATTGATAAAGCGTATGATTTTGATTGGCTCAGTGATGAGGCGATGATATTGAATTAAGTTGATGAAATATAGTGATGATCAACAATTTACATCAGCAAAAGCTGGGTTTGATCAATGCTATACAGACGAATAAATCCCATGACAGAGCCCAGTTTGATCAGTTTATATTTGCTTTAATGCAAAAGGGCTACCTTAAATTGATAGCCCTTTTCACCTTATCCAATCAGCTTAGCGTGGAGGAAAGCCCGCTTCTGATAAAGCATCAACCACTTGTTGCTGTGTTGCTGTTGTTTCAACTTTAACACTGTGACTTGGTGGATCGGCAATCACCTTAGCATTTTCATCTACAGATTGAATTGCTTTGGTTACACCACGTGCACAACCACCACAGGTCATATTTTCAATATAAAATTCCATATCTCACCCTGCTCTAAGAAGACTTAAACTTAAGATAAACCTTACCATAATTGTAAGGTCAAGTTTTAATGTTTAAAGTTTCATCGCAACGCTTTTTCAAAAATAATTTACAGTATTTTTAAGCCATCGATTGCTGAATTTTTTACGAATGCTAAATGCCAACATAGGCGAATGGTTTATATACAGAATTTATGCTTTGATAGTAAACTCTGCATTGAAATTGTGAATGATAAGAACATGATGATGAACAAAGACCATTTATATTCAGTGATTTACCAAGACATTCAAGATGCTTTCGCTGAGATTCAGCAGCTTACACAAGATCAGCATTTATGTGCTATTGGTTTGGGAATGGTTGAAGATTTCTGTGGTTTCTTTTATGTAGGATGCACATTAGAACAATTAAAAACCTTTGAAGACGTCTATGAAGCATGGTGGATTTCAGAATGGAGTTGTTCAAGTACTGCCAATAATCGTGTTCACGATGCAATCACGGCTTTGTATCAGGACTTGGGAGAGGATTATACAGATGAGCAATATAGCGAATTGCAAGCGCACTATCAAAAGACCATTATTCAAGCATTACAAGATTTAAGAACACAAGGAAAATTAAAAAACCAACAGGGTGAAGAAATTATTGTCATTATTCAATATGCAGACTCATCCGATGAAGATTTTGAGGACATTAGTTTCCCACAAATTAATCCTGAGTTTTTAGTGCCTTTATTTGAAAACCGCTTTCAGAAAAAAGCTGGTGAAAATTTATATGATTACCTATTAGAAAAATCAGCATCTTAAAATAACAAACCGAGCTAAAAAGCTCGGTTTCTGAAGAATCAGTATCTAAAATTAGATATCTGAAAGATCTACACCAATGCGAGTAGCCACTTCTTCATAAGCTTCAACAACACCACCTAAACCTTGACGGAAACGGTCTTTGTCGAGTTTTTTCTTGGTGTCTTTATCCCATAGACGGCAACCGTCTGGAGAGAATTCGTCACCCAAAACGATACGGTCATGGAACACGCCAAATTCAAGTTTAAAATCAACAAGAAGCATGTTGCCTTGAGCGAATAAATCTTTCAGCACAACATTGACTTTTTGAGTCAATTCTTTCATTTGCGCCAATTGTTCAGCATTTGCCCAACCCAATGCAATTGCTTGAGACTCGTTCACCATAGGATCGCCTAAAGCGTCATCTTTGAAGAACAATTCAAATGTTGGTGGAACAAGCTCTAAACCTTCTTCAACACCCAAACGACGGCATAATGAACCTGCAGCATAATTACGCATTACACATTCAACAGGGATCATTTGCAATTTTTTCACTAAAACTTCAGTTGGAGAAAGAAGTTTTTCGAAGTGTGTTTCAATACCAGCTGCAGCCAGTTTTTCCATGATAAAGGCATTAAAACGGTTGTTCACCTTACCTTTACGGTCTAGTTGCTCTATTTTTTCGCCATTAAATGCAGAAGCATCGTCACGGAAAACTAGAATTAGATGATCCGCGCTATCTGTTTCATAAACAGATTTCGCTTTACCAGTATAGAGCAAGGTTTGTTTTAACATGGGGGAACCTTTTGCAAAAAAAAATTGCCTAGAACGACTAGGCTGGCCAGTTTTGGTAAATCTGGGTTAATAGTTCTGCAGCTTTTTCTTTGTCTGCAAAGCTATTATCGGCGTTAAACACAGCAAGTGTGTTACTTGAACCTACAGAATTAAGTTTCAATACATAAGTTGAATTATCGATTTTTACAGTTGCCTCATTGGCATTTTTGCTTTGGCCGATAACCTTATGATTTAAGCTACTGAGGGTCGCAAGTGCGTACTGCCAAATTGTAGCAGAATTTCCATCAATTTTGATCAGTGGATTGCCATTTCCATCAGTTAAAATTTGAGGACGACCAACACTTTCAGTTGATGCAGAAACTTCATCAGCAGGTGCACTGATTTGAGCAACATCTGGACGAGGAACCTCGTAACGGTTGCCTCGTTTATTTTCAAATTTTGGTGCATGCTGAAGTGCAAGAGGGTCAACAATAGGAGCTGGATACATTGGCGTTGCAGGTCTAACTGTTGAACCTTCAGGGTAGCTAAGTGGCTCTACAGTGGTCGTGTTTTTATAATCTAAAGAACCATTACTGATTCCAAGGGAACTACAACCCGCCAAGCTTAAAGCTGAAATGGCAAGAGTTAAACCTAAACGTAATTGCATAATACTAAGCTCTTATTAAATGAGACCCACTGCTTTGAGTTCTTCACGCAGTGGTGCACGGTATTGTTCTGCTAGGGGAGTTAATGGTAAGCGAATGCCAGTACCAATTAATTCCATTTCATGAAGTGCCCATTTCACTGGAATTGGGTTCGATTCGCAAAATAGAATATTGTTTAATTTTGCAACTTGGTCATCTTTGCTTTTTGCTGTTGCAGCATCACCTGCAATTGCAGCGGCACAAAGTTCGCTCATGATTTTTGGTGCAATATTTGCTGTTACTGAAATATTGCCGTGGGCGCCTAACTGAATCAATTCACTCGCAGTCGCATCATCACCTGAATACACCACCATGTTTTTGCCTTTTAAACCATCAATCAGCTCTTTACCACGAGGAACATCGCCAGTCGCATCTTTAATTCCTACGATTTGAGGAATATCTGCTAAACGAATCGCGGTGTCGTTGTGCAGATCTACACCAGTACGACCAGGTACGTTGTAAAGAATGATAGGTAAATCAACAGCTTCAGCAACTGCCTTATAGTGTTGGAATAAACCTTCTTGCGTTGGTTTGTTATAATAAGGGGTAACTAAAAGTGCGGCATCTGCGCCGAGTTGTTTGGCTTCTTTGGTGAGTTCAATCGCTTCGTGTGTCGAGTTTGCACCAGTACCGGCAATAATTGGAATACGTTTATTGGCAACACGGATAATTTCTTTAATTACTTCTGTGTGTTCTGCCATGCTAAGAGTAGATGCTTCGCCAGTTGTACCGACAGCAACAATACTATTAGTGCCTTGTTCTATGTGCCACTCAACGAGCTTCTCGAGACCCTTCCAATCTACGCTGCCATCTTCAAACATAGGGGTGACGATTGCGACAATTGAGCCTTGAATGGTCTGTGCTTGCTGAGTCATTTTAAAAAAATATCCTATTTTTCCATCCACATGCGTTTGAGTAAACAAGGATTGGGATGGTTGCAGTATTTTGATTTGAGCGTGAAACAATCATCTTAAAGATTGCCTAATGCTTATGCAAATTATGACTGATTCAGCGTGTCAGAACAATATGCTTTAGTCAAAGCTTGGAAATTCTTTAACAAAAGCAACAAATCACTCACATTTCCAAGCAATTTTTTTAATTTTCATTTTTTTATCAAACATGACCGGCATGCAGTTTTAATCCAAATGCAGGGTAAAATCTATCCTCGCTAGAAAACAATTTTCTATTGGGCGGCTGAGTCTCGCTGTTTAGAATCTAGCGAACCGTTCTAGATGATTTCACGATTGATTTTGATAAGATGCTCGCAAATGTAGGCTTTTTTATTGTATGTTGAGTCATCGAGTATTTAAATTTTTACGATTAAAATAATAGTCATTTGGCCAATATAAGGGTAGGGAAATGTTGCAATCTGAGCGTAGCGCCTTGATCGTTGTTGATGTACAAAATGGTTTCACTTCGGGGGGAAATTTAGAAGTTGCCCATGCTGAGCAAATTATTCCAACCATCAATCAATTGGCACTACATTTTGACAATATTGTATTGACTCAAGATTGGCACCCTGAAAACCATATTTCATTTGTTGAGAATCATCCCAACCGTAAAGCTTATGACCTGATCAGCTTAGATTACGGCCCGCAAGTATTGTGGCCATCACACTGCGTACAAGGGACGCAAGATGCTGAATTCCATCCTGATCTAAACATACCAACCGCACAACTGATTATTCGTAAAGGCTTTCGTTCTCAAATTGACAGCTATTCAGCCTTTATGGAAGCTGATCATAAAACCACTACAGGCTTGACGGGCTATCTTAAAGAGCGTGGTATAGATACGGTGTATATCGTCGGGATTGCAACAGACTTCTGCGTCGCATGGACGGCCATGGATGCCGCTAAGTTAGGTTTTAAAGCCTTTGTTATTTCGGACGCGACCAAAGCAATTGATTTACATGGTTCTTTACAACACGCATGGCAGGAAATGCTGGCTGTCGGTGTAAAACGCGTGATCTCAAAAGAGATTTTCAACGCAGCATAAGCATAAAGACTTGCATCATTTGAGAAATATTACTGCTTTAGAACATCTTGTTTTAAGATAAGCCGAAATCCTCAATCTGCTTGGGTAAGGACAATGTCAGCAATTTTACGTTTTAGTCAGTTTGTACAAAAAACTTTTGCCCTATGGGTTGTGGTGTTTGCCTTTATTGCCTTATGTTTTCCAGCAGCATTTGTCTGGATGAAAGCATATATTCCATGGGTTTTAGGGATTATCATGCTGGGAATGGGTATGACCATGACCGTGGACGAATTTAAGAATGTCTTGTCAAATCCCAAAGCGGTTGTGATCGGTGTCGTTGCACATTTTGTGGTGATGCCCAGTGTGGCATTCTTTCTTTGTAAAGTTTTTAATTTACCACCCGAAATTGCGGTAGGAGTAATCCTTGTCGGCTGTTGCCCCGGAGGGACAGCATCCAATGTCATCACCTATATGGCCAAAGGAAATACTGCTTTATCCGTCACATGTACATCTGTTTCAACGTTTTTAGCGCCTATTTTGACACCTGCAATATTCTATGTGTTAGCCAGCCAGTGGATTCCGATTGATGCGGGTTCAATGTTTATCGACATTCTTAAAGTGGTAATTTTTCCAATTATTTTGGGCGTGATTTTAAGAAGCTTATTTAAACAAAAGACTGAGCAATATATTCAAGTGATGCCTTTGATCTCTGTGATTGCCATTGTGGTGATCGTGGCAGCAATTATTGCAGCCAGTAAGGCTTCAATTTTGCAATCGGGCTTGCTGATTTTGGGTGTGGTGATTTTACATAATGGTTTAGGCTTTTTATTAGGCTATTGGGCAAGTCGTCTATTCAACCTATCTTATCCTGACTCTAAAGCTGTTGCGATTGAAGTGGGGATGCAAAATTCTGGTTTAGGTGTGACCTTAGCGGCAATACATTTTGCAGCATCTCCAATAACCGCAGTGCCAAGTGCTATTTTTAGTTTATGGCATAATATTTCAGGGCCTGTTTTAGCCACGTATTGGGCAGCGAAAGCAGATAAAATGGCTGAAAATAAACAATAATACTATTTTAAAATTTACCTTTCATTTAGAGAGCTTTGGCTCTCTTTTTATTTATAGTGCTTATTCATACGCTAACTGTTTTAAAAACTCATCCTCAGTGAGTACGCTAAAGCCATGTTGTTCGAGTAGGGCTACGGTAACCCCTTTGCCTGATATTTTATGCCCTGAAAATGATCCATCATAAATCATCTGTGAACCACAAGAAGGACTGTTGGCTTTTAAAATAATATGTGTAACTTGATGGTATTGGGCGAGTTTTAGGGTTTTTTCTGCACCCAAAATAAATTCAGCCGAAACATCATCACCATTGGCGTCTTTTACTTTGGCTTGCCCTTTTAAAACTTGATAACCATCACCACCTACGATTTCAGCAGGTTGCCGAGGTGTACTTAAGCCGCCTGAAACTTCAGGACAAATCACTACGGCTTGTTGCTTGTCTAGCAGTTGTTTAAGCTTGTGTTGTAGGCAGTTCTTGGCATCGTAGCGAACATTTTCACCCACAAGACATGCACTAATCAGATATTTTTTCATTATCTTGAGGTTAATTCGAGTTGCATTAAATTCATACCAATATCATATAAATCGGTTTTAAAGTCGATGCTTAATTTCTCTGTAAAAGCAAAATTTTGATAGAATTTTTTTGCACGGGTATTGGTTGTTAATACTTCCAAAAATACAGAAGCTTGTTGATGTTCACGTGCAATATCAATCGTATTTTGCATAAGCGCAGATGCAAAATTTTTCCCAACCGCTTCTTTAAGCAAGTAAATTTTCTGTAATTCTGCACCAGTAATATCTAAATGTGGTTCATATTGGTTGAGATTTAACTTGGCATATCCAATAATTTGCGCTTGTTCATTTTCAAGCAATAACCAAATTTGATCAGGATCTCGCAGAGATTCAGACAAATTTTCTAAACTAAAATTTTGATTGAGAAAGCTTTGTAGGCCTTGTTCTGCCCAAAGATCAGCAAAATGTTGGCGATATGTGGTGCAGGCAAGCTGATTGAGTTGCTTGAGATGGATTGGTGTAGCTGGATAAATTTTCATTATATTTTGTCATTAAATGACGCTTTGCTATACCTTGAATTTGTATTCAATCATGTATGAATTTCATGGGATAATCAATCCGAAATAGGGAAAATGAATCTTGTTATGAGTGTGTATGTCGATCGCGCAAAAGTTCCTTTTAAAGGCCAAGAATGGTGTCATTTGATGGCAGATACACTGGAGGAATTACATCATTTTGCGCAAATGCTGGAAATCGATGCCCGTTTATTTCATCGCTCAGCGTCTTATCCGCATTATGATATTACCCTGCAAATGCGTGTGATGGCGATTGCTTATGGCGCAATTGATGCAGATCGAAAAACCATTATTGCTTGTGGAAAAAAGCTGAAGTTACAACTCAACCAATCTTTATAAAGTATTGGTTTTTATTTCAGCTTGATAAAACCGTATCTCCAGAAAAATACTTTATCGCGATTAAGTCTTGTCCTTATGAGAAGCACAAGAGTAGAATCTTTTATGATGAAAAATTATGAACAACGATTGTGATTAATATATGACTTTTAAAGACGGCTCAACAGAAATATCGCAAGACGAGATTATTATTCTGGCTGAAACTTTTCGACTTTTAGGAGATGCCTCACGTCTCAGAATTCTTTTATTCTGTATGCGTGGACCTAGTCCAGTAGGCGATATCTGTGAAGCACTCGATTTGTCGCAATCTTTGGTTAGTCATCATTTACGTTTATTACGTTCAGCACGCTTGGTGAAAAGTGAGCGTCAGGCCAAACAAGTCTTATATGAAATCGCTGATACGCATGTCAGTCATGTTCTGTCTGATATGGCAAAACATATTGCAGAAGAGCAGTGTGGTTAAATTTTCTATTTTTTAAATCGATTTTAAAACTAAAGTGAATTTCAAAATGTGGATGCCACAAGGCAACAATCAATGACCTTGTGGCACTTTGTGCTTGATCCATATTGATCTTAATGACTATGTCCAGCATGAGGATCAATTTTTGTCGGTTTTTCAAGGCTACAGCTGCTATCACCTTGCCAATCAATCGCGACAGTTGGATGTTCAATATCAAATTTGGTTTTTAATTCATGTTCAATTTGTTCGGTGAGTGTCTTGATATCAACACCTGCTTCAGGTTGGACATGTAATGTTGCCATTGCTCTTCCTGAAGTAATCATCCATACATGAATATGGCTAATTTTCTGAATGCCTTGAACGGATTTTAATAAGTGAGTGGTGATATCTGTTGTATTCGCATTGGCAGGCGCACCTTCTAATAAAATATGAATGGTTTGTTTAAACAAAGACCATGCACTGCGCAATACAAGTAATGATACAAGCACAGACAAAATAGGATCAATCGGTGTCCAGCCTGAGTACCAGATGACGATTGCAGCAATAATTGCAGCAACAGAACCCAATAAGTCACCCATCACGTGCAGAATCGCACCTTTGATATTTACATGATCCGTATCATCTCGTGTGAGGTACCATAAAACAAAGATATTCACCAACATACCAACAATTGCGACAATAAACATCGGTCCTGCAAGTACGGGTTGAGGTGATTGAAAGCGTACAATCGCTTCATAGACGATCCATCCAACAATCCCAAACAATGTTAGAGAATTGATCAGACCTGCAATCACTTCAAAGCGCATATAGCCGAAAGTACGTGATTTATCCGCAGTACGACGCCCAAAGCGAAACGCTGCATATGCTAATCCTAATGCAAGTGCATCCGTCATCATATGGCCTGCATCAGCTAACAGTGCCAGTGAACCAGATATGATTCCCCCAGCAGCTTCAACAAGCATAAAACTGAAAATAATGAAGAAAGAAATCAGAATTTTTCTTTCATTTCCTGTAGTTGCTTCAGGTACATGTGCGTGGTTGTGATCACTATGGCTATTATGGGGGTGATTATGATTGTGTCCCATAAGGACCTCTGAATTGGATTATTTACATATGAATATATGTTCATATGTTTGTTTTGTCAAATAGCTTCATGTTAATTTTTTATTGCATTGTGAATCAAAAAATTTTAAAAATCTGATGTCATAAGGCACTTAGGTTTAATAAAACAGAATAGAAATAAAGTTTTTAAAACGAACTGATTCACTTTCGAGCTTATTTACTTTGATACGAAGTAAAAAGGAGGCTATTTTTCGCTCAGGGATTTTGTTGGTTCAAGTTTAAGAAGATGGTTTTTGTTCAGGTTATTTTTAAATTGATGGATCTATAAAAATCAGGCATAAAAAATCCACACATTCATGCAATTTTATCGCACGGTTTGTGTGGATTGCTTGAGCTATTGATATGTGTATGAAACTTAATTTATTTCATACACTACAATAAGTAACTGATTGATTATTCAACCGTAACTGATTTTGCTAAATTACGAGGTTGGTCTACGTCAGTACCACGTAATACCGCAACATGATAAGACAACAATTGCACAGGTACACTATAAACGATTGGCGCTAACCAAGTATTGACCGTTGGAACATAGACAACATGTTGGCGTTCTTTAGCCACGATACCGCTATTTTCATCAGCAAAAACAAACAGTTCACCACCACGTGCTTGGACTTCTTCCATATTGGATTTAAGTTTATCCAGCATGTCATCATTCGGTGCAAGAATCACCACAGGCATATCATTGTCGACCAAAGCCAGTGGGCCATGTTTCAATTCACCCGCAGCATAACCTTCGGCATGAATATATGAAATTTCTTTAAGTTTTAATGCACCTTCAAGCGCAATTGGGAATTCTGTACCGCGACCCAAGAACAAGCAATGCTGTTTCTCTTTGAACAGAACAGACAAACGTAAAATTTCTGCATCATTTTGTAAGGTATCTAAAATGACTTTAGGGATATGCCACAACGCAGAAGTGATTTCATCAATACGTTCAGCTGAAATGGTTTGCTTAACTTGACCAAGTTTAAGGGTCAATAACATCAAAGCCGCAAGCTGTGTGGTAAATGCTTTGGTTGATGCGACCCCAATTTCAGGACCAGCTAGGGTTAATAAATGATGATTTGTTTCACGAACCATAGATGAGGTCGCGACATTACAAATCGTCATGGTATAGATATTCACCCCTTTTGCTTTGGCACGCTTTTGGGTATCACGTAATGCAGCCAAGGTATCTGCAGTTTCACCTGATTGGGAAATACAAACATACAAGGTGTTATCTACAATCACAGGCGAGCGATAACGGAACTCACTGGCAATTTCAACTTGGCAAGGCAGATCAATCAGTTGTTCAAACCAATATTTTGCAATCATTCCCGCATGGTAGCTGGTACCACAAGCAAGCACTTGAACTTGCTGAACATTTTTAAAATCTATTTCAGCATTTTGTAAAAAGTCTTCTCGTAATGTATTGCCATTTAAAGCTTGAGAGATCGTTTGTTGAATTGCTTCAGGTTGCTCAAAAATTTCTTTGAGCATGTAGTGTTTATATTCACCTTTAGAGGCATTACTCACGGTTGCATCCAGCTCTTTCACCGGACGATCAACCAATTGATCATTAACAAAAACTTCAATCGTTTCACGAGTTAAACGCGCAATATCACCTTCTTCAAGATAGATAAAACGGTTGGTCACAGGTAATAGTGCCAATTGGTCTGAACTAATAAAGTTCTCACCAATACCGACACCAATGACTAAAGGTGAGCCTTCACGAACAGCAATTAATTCATTTGGGTAATCGGTATGCACAATCCCCAGTGCATAAGCACCTTTCAGTTGAGGTACGATTTCTTCAACGGCTTTTAATAAATTTGGCGATGATTTTAGTGCTTCAGTAATTAAGTGAGCAACGACTTCAGTATCGGTTTGAGATGTAAACACATAACCCAAAGCTTCAAGATCATCTTTAAGCTCTTGGTAATTTTCAATAATACCGTTATGTACCACTGCAACATGCCCAGAAATATGCGGATGGGCATTGTTTTCAGTTGGTTTACCATGGGTTGCCCAACGTGTGTGTGCAATACCCACAGAACCTAAAATATTCGACTCTGCAACCGCGCCTTCTAAATTTGCAACTTTACCAACACGACGTTCACGTAAGATTTGCCCCTGATCAACTAGAGCAACACCCGCAGAGTCATAACCACGATATTCAAGACGTTTTAGGCCTTCAATTAAAATATTTGTAATGCTTCGTTCAGCAACGCCACCAACAATACCGCACATAATAATATCCTCTTATTTCTTGACCTTTTGGGGACGTTGATAATTTTCTTTCGAAATTTGTTTTGCACGTTCAAATGCAAGACTGTTGTCTGCTACATCATGGGTAATCACTGAACCCGCACCTGTGGTTGCGCCATGCCCAATTTTAATCGGTGCAACCAGTGAGTTGTTGGTTCCAATAAAGGCATTATCACCAATGATGGTTTTGTGTTTATTGGCGCCATCATAATTACAGGTAATTGTACCTGCACCGATGTTTGAACCCGCACCAATTTCTGCATCGCCTAAATAGGTGAAATGATTGGCTTTTGAACCGAGACCAACAGAAGTGTTTTTCACTTCAACAAAGTTACCGATATGAACTTCATCTGCCAATTTCGCACCTGGACGTAGTCGTGCAAAAGGACCAATGTGTACATCTGCACCAATCACTGCATCTTCAAAAACACTATACGGTTGAACTTTGGTTCCTGCCGCAATTTGAGTATTTTTGATAATACATCCTGCGCCAATTTCAACGCCATTTCCGAAAGTACATTGACCTTCAATAATCACATTAATATCAATACGAACGTCAGTACCCGCGGTGAGTTGACCACGTAAATCAAAACGTGAAGGGTCAATCAAATGCACGCCTTGTTGCATCAGTAATTTGGCTTGATAGTTTTGGAATTCTCGCTCTAATGCTGCAAGTTGAATGCGATCATTCACGCCTTCAACTTCAAAAGCCAATTCTGGTTGAATGGATGCGATTTCCATACCATCCGCTAAAGCCATTGCCACGATATCAGTGAGGTAGTACTCGCCTTGAGCATTGTCATTGCTGAGTTTAGGTAACCATTCATGTAATTTGGCATTGCTCACACAGTAAATACCTGTGTTGATTTCTTTAATTTGACGTTGTTCATCAGAAGCATCTTTATGTTCAACAATCGCTTGGATTTTTCCATCCTTACGTACGATGCGACCGTAGCCAGTAGAATCATCAAGCGTTAATGTGACTAAACCGATGCCTGTTTGACTGGATACATCAACCAAGCGTTGTAGGGTACTTTGTTGTACGCAAGGCACATCACCAGAAAGGATCAAAGAAATGCCATCTTGGGGCAAAACAGGTAAAGTCACTTTAACGGCATGACCCGTACCGAGTTGTTCGGTTTGCTCTACCCATTGAATATTTTCATGTGCAAATGCATTTTGAACTAGATCACCACCGTGACCAAAGATTGTAATGATATTTTTTGCTTGTAATTGTTTTGCTGTTTCAATCACATGACCGAGTAGTGGGCGTCCTGCTAAAGGTTGGAGTACCTTGGGTAAACTAGAACGCATACGTGTTCCTTTACCTGCAGCAAGAATGATCACAGTTGTAGACATATCACACCTAACAGATCTGGCTTAAGCCATTTTAAAATATAAATAAATCACGATACATATTGCTGCCCAGAGGCCTGCAATAATATCGTCAAGCATGATCCCAAAGCCACCATCGACTTTTTGGTCAATGACACGAATAGGCCATGGTTTCCAGACATCAAATAAACGGAACAGTGCAAATCCAACCAGTGCCCAAATCCAATTCATTTGTCCTAAATAAATTAAAGGCAGGAACGTGATTGATTGCCCAGCAAACTCATCCCAAACAATGCGCCCATCATCATGCACATGGATAATCTCTGCGGTTTTCCCACAAATCCAAATACCGACCAATGACATGATTATGATGGCCAATATGGAGCCATAAAAACCAATTGCAAGCCAAATCGGAATAAACAAAAGCGCAAATGCTGAGCCAAATGTACCTGGTGCTTTAGGCGCTAAGCCTGAACCAAAGCCCACACCGCAGAACACAATAAAGCGTTCAGCCCATGTCATACTTTTAAAGACAATCGGAGGTTTATGCAAAGTGTTGGTACCCTTGAAGTTGAAGTTGAAGTGGATGGTCTAAGCCATCTTTCTCAAATACAATCCCAGATTTTTGTGTAACTTGGCCGATGATTGTAGTGGTTACATTTGGTTTTAATTGCAAAAGTTTAGCATAATTTTGCATAGTTATTGTAAAGCATAACTCATAATCATCTCCGCCCGCTAAAGCATATTTCCATTGCTCATTGTTGCTGAGCTGCCTTAAAGCTGGATGAATTGGGAGTTGATTTAAATCTATTTTTGCACCGACACCCGAGGCATCTAAGATATGCCCGAGATCTTGAGCAAGTCCATCTGAAACATCAATCATACTGGACGCCAAGTCTTTTAACAGAGCACCTAATTCGCAGCGCGGTGTTGGGTAATCTAGACGTTGTTGTAGTGGATGTCCTAAATGTTTTAGCCCAAAAGCGGCATCACCAATCGAGCCACTGACTACAATTAAATCATCGACTTGTGCGCCAGAACGGGTAATGGCTTTGCCTGTTTCAATCCAGCCCAGTGCAGTGACGGTAATAGTGAGATGTGGACTTTGTGTGGTATCACCACCAATTAAACGTACGCCAAATTGATCGCAACAATCATATAAACCCTGACTAAATTGTTTTAGCCAGTCATGATCAATTTGGGATAGGCTCAATGCGAGTAAAATACTGTGGGGTTTTGCACCCATTGCAGCAATATCTGACAGATTGACAGCAACAGATTTCCAGCCAATGGCATGTGGAGAGGTTTCTAGCGGAAAATGTCGACCAGCGACAAGGGTATCCGTACAAATCACCAATTGATGATTCAAAGGCGGGGAGAGCAGAGCTGAGTCGTCACCGACGCCTAAATCAACATCAGTTTGCTGCTGACGATTGAAATAGGTCTCAATAATTGAAAACTCAGCCATGTAAAAACAACTTATTTGCTTTGTTGCTTTTCTGCTTCACGCAGGCTTGTTGCTAAACGATCTAATACACCATTGATGTATTTATGACTGTCAGCACCACCAAAGTGTTTTGCCAGCTCAATGGCTTCATCGAGTACAACTCGATAAGGGACTTCAAGATGGTCTTTGAGTTCGTATGCACCTAAACGTAATGTAGCAAGTTCTACACCGTCCAATGCACTCAGTTCACGATCCAGAACAGGAACAAGTAAAGCATCCAATGCTTCATGGTTTGCGATCACGGCTGTGAGCAACTCATGATAATAGCCGAGATCCACTTTATGCATTGCGTTTTCAACACGGGTACGTGCTTCAATTTCATGCACTGGGTTGTGGCTCATTTGCCATTCATAAATCCCTTGTACAGCAAAGCGACGTGCTTTACGTTTTGCTGCATAAGTAGCTTGGAGTGTTTGCGACATGCTTTAAATTGCCTTTAACAGGTTAACCATTTCAATAGCAGTAAGGGCAGCTTCACCACCTTTATTACCTGCTTTTGTACCAGAGCGTTCAATCGCCTGTTCAATACTGTCCGTAGTCAATACACCATTGATTACAGGTAGGCCAGTATCTAAACCAACTACACCTAAACCTTTGGCACATTCACCTGCAACGAAGTCGAAATGTGGCGTACTACCACGAATCACTGCGCCAAGTGCGATCACTGCATCGAATTTACCAGAAGCTGCTAATTTTTTAGCCACAACTGGAAGTTCCCATGCGCCCGGTGCATGAACGACAGTGATATTATCGTCGCTTACACCATGACGATGCAATGTATCAATTGCACCTTCTAATAAATGTTCAACAACAAAGCTGTTAAAACGACCAACTAAAATCGCGTAACGGTCTTCGCTCGCGAGATGTAATAAACCTTCAATTCGGCGAATCGCCATGGCAACCTCGATAATTTAACAGATAAGTGGTTGTACCGACTGCTTTTATTTCCCGACTAAAAACCTAATTGAGCAATAAATGCAGTCTGATTAAAAATTATTGACCCGTTTTTTGGTCAGCAGTGATGTATTCCACCACTTCTAAATTAAAGCCTGATAATGCATTGAAACGTAATGGTGAGCTAAGAAGTTTCATCTTTTCAACACCGAGATCACGTAAAATTTGTGCACCAACACCAATCGTTTGGTATTGCTGTGAAAGTGCAGCATTTGATTTTGTTGGTTTTGGCTTACCAAGTTCTGCCAAAGCAGGGCCTAAGTCAGATAAATGACGTTGACCAATCCAGACCAAAACCCCTCGATCACTGTCGGCAATCGTTTTGAGTGCTTTATCGAGGTTCCAAGCAGGCTCACCATCTTTTTTATTGAGTTTCAATAAATCACGTACAGGGTTGAAACCATGTACACGGACAGTTGTCACCCCTTGTTTCGGTTCACCTTTGACCAAAGCCAAATGAATGTCTGGATTACCAATTTCACGGTAACGGTATAAATCAAAGGTACCGTATTCAGTATCTATACTTTGTTGATCCAAACGTTCTACGGTTTGTTCATTGGTCATACGATAATGAATCAGATCAGCAATTGTACCAATTTTTAAGCCATGTTTCTCAGCAAATACTTCAAGATCAGGACGACGTGCCATCGTGCCATCTTCATTGATAATTTCACAAATCACCGACGCAGGCTCTAAACCCGCTAAACGAGATAAGTCACAGCCAGCTTCTGTATGCCCAGCACGGTGTAATACACCACCTGGTTGTGCCATCAATGGGAAGATATGTCCAGGTTGTACAATATCAGCAGGTTTGGCATGTGCTGCAACTGCAGTTTGAATGGTATGGGCACGTTCTGCGGCAGAAATACCAGTGGTAATCCCATTTGCCGCTTCAATAGAAAGCGTGAAGTTTGTACTGTGTTGTGCGCCATTATGGTCGACCATTAATGGTAGATCGAGTTGCTTACAGCGGTCACGACTCAGTGTTAGGCATACAAGACCACGAGCATGGGTGATCATAAAGTTGATGTCTTCAGGGCGTACGTGTGTTGCAGCAATGACTAAATCGCCTTCATTTTCACGATCTTCGTCATCCATGAGGATAACCATTTTACCTGCACGGATATCTGCTACAAGCTCTTCAACAGTATTGAGCGGCATCAACCTTCACCTTTTTGTTCTGTCGTATGACATTTTCATTGAGTACATTCGGAGCATAGTCTAACGTGTTTTTACGTATTTTGCCTATGCTTATCATCTTCCTTTGAGATAGATAGTTATACACAAGCTTGTAGGGCAATGAAAAGAGAAGAAAATTGAAACATTGCGATTTAGTATAAAGATCAGGGTCTGTTGATAATTCGTCTACGTTTGCGACTACGTGTGTTTTTTAGGCGATACTAGGCGCGAAGTGTGAAATTTAGTCATTCTAAATGATGAGAAACATCGTTTCGCAAGGTAACACGTAGCGGCAAAAAACACGCTAGTCCCGAAGGGTTGTAGCTAAAATTATCTCAGCCTACGTTATGAAACTCGAAAATAGCCTCGCTATTCTCATTCATGCTTTAGACGTATACGTCTCATGTTCAATTTTAACCTACAACGCAAACCATTTATGAAATGTCAGCAGACCCCAGAAACTCATTTCGAAAAAAATAAGATTAACTTATCGGAAATTGAGCGTAATAAAAGAAAAACCCTCGCACTTTAAAAAAGAGGAGGGCTTGATAGATGGTAAATATTTAATTCTCTGAGATTGCTTCAGAATTCGGTGTATTTTTCTTACCTTTTAAAATCTCAGTACGAATATTTTGTGCAAGTTCAGCGCAGTCATTATTCATACCATTGATCATAAATGAATGACGGGTCAACACATTGGTTGGATTTGGTAAGGCAACCAATTGATAACAATCACCAATATGCTTGAGTTGATCATTGCTTAAATACAATGCCATTTCTTTGGCAATTAAATGATTCACCAAGCGCTCAGCCGCTTGAGACGCATCAAGTTGCATCGCTTCTACTGAGGTGGTGACCGCACAACGTGTCTGTAACACAAAGCGCTTGTCTTCACGGTAACGTTTATACAGAACTTCTGACAATAATTGAAATACCGAACCAACCATTAATATAGATTGTGCTGCATTGGGTTTTTCAGCATCAATACTCAGGATTGCACCATTCTGATTAAATTCTTGATGAATGGTGAAATCTTTTGCATTCAATTTGAAATGCTGTGCGCAAAGTTCAATACTTTTATTCAGAAAAATCTGACATAAATTAAAATAAGGCAGTGAAACCGACTGGTTGACCGTATTCATCAGTTGTTTTGGATCATAGTACTGAATATTCAGCGCCAAAATCTCTTGGTCATTTTCCAGTGTCGTGGTTACAGGAGTTTTGGGTTCAGGTTTTGCTTTGGCTTGCGCTTGTTGTTGAGCTTGGGCAATCGCAATGGTGCGGTTGGCTTTCTCAGCTTCAAGTGCTTCTGTCAGTTGTTGAATCTCATGTTTTAAACGGGCTTCATTGTTGATACGAGCCAAATATTCACTACGTGTTGGACGAGCGATGGCACGGTAGGCCAACCATAAGAAGGTATGAATCAATAAGGACACTAAAATAGCCAGCCATTGGGTCCGTAAAATTTCACCAATACTTGGCTTGATCAAGGTAATTTCAATAGTGCCGACTTTTTTCTCGTTCTGTAATGCATCACGAACAAAAACTTCACCTTGACGCGTTTTTGCCATACCACTGGTTGCCAGTACTTGTTTTTTAGCATCCAGTATTCGAATCGAAGCCACACTTGGATTGGTCGCATAGCGATTTGCCAACAGCGCCAATGACACCGTATTTGCGGGTTCGAGTTCAGATAGGCTGTCCGTGACCAATTGGCTGGTCATGAGTTGGCCTTGGCTGGCACGGTTTTCATTCAACTGATGTGTTGTTGCAACTACCAATAAAAAGGTATGAAATGCAAAACTTACAATAAGTAGGCTAGCAAATAGCCCTTGTCTTGGCGCATTCAACGTAAACTTCCAAAGCAAAAAATTTCGATTTCGATTATGATTCTTCCAATTGTTGTAGCTCAGACCCGAGTCAATTCATGCGAGAAATCATTCTTATTTCATTTTTAGGACCTGACCAACCCAATCAGTTTACTCGATTAATGCAAGTGTTGTCCGTACATTCTTTGCAAATATTAGATGTAGGACAGGCGGTCATCCATAATCAATTGACTTTAGGTATTGTAGTGTCGTCAAACGATCAAACTGCAACAGCTTTAGCCATGAAAGACATCCTTATTTTAGCACATGATATTGGTTTAACTGTTCGTTTTAAGCCGATTTCAGGCGCAGAATATGACCAATGGGTGAGTGAAGGTGGGCGCACACGTTATATCGTGACCGCTTTAGCACCAGAGCTCACAGCCGAACATCTGCAAGCGGTGACCAATATTGTTTCAAGTCAAGGTTTTAACATTGAAACAGTAACGCGCTTGTCGGGGCGTCCCGAGCGTAATGGACACCAAGATGGGCTGAAACGTTCATGTGTTCAATTCGGTTTGAGTGGGCAAATGCTGGATGCACAGGCGATGCGTGCCGCATGTTTACGGCTTTCTGCTGAATTAAATATTGATGTCGCGGTGCAGGAAGACAATGCCTATCGCCGTAATCGTCGCTTAGTCTGCTTCGACATGGACTCGACTTTGATTGAGCAAGAAGTGATTGACGAACTTGCTAAAGAAGCAGGGGTGGGCGATAAAGTCGCTGAAATCACTGAACGTGCAATGCAAGGGGAGTTAGATTTTCAACAAAGTTTCCGTGCACGCGTTGCGTTACTTAAAGGCCTTGATGCCACAGTATTGCCTCAAATTGCTGAACGACTAACCGTGACAGAAGGTGCCGAGCGGTTAATCTCGACACTAAAATCACTGGGTTATAAAACTGCGATTTTATCTGGTGGTTTTCAGTACTTTGCTGAATATCTACAAGAAAAATTGGGCATTGATGAAGTGCATGCCAATATCCTCGATGTTGAAAATGGTGTTGTGACAGGTGAGGTTAAAGACCATATCGTTGATGGTGCGCGCAAGGCGTATCTCTTGACTGAATTGGCTGGAAAAATGGGGATTTCACCTGAGCAAGCGATTGCGGTTGGAGATGGCGCAAACGATTTACCGATGCTTTCAATTGCAGGGCTTGGAGTCGCATTCCGTGCTAAACCTGTGGTTCGCCAAAATGCCAATCAAGCTATTTCAAGTGTAGGTCTAGATGGTGTGCTTTATCTTTTAGGCGTGCATGATAAAGATTTGTCCCGTGCTTAAATGACATGGGTTATATTGCAGAATCATGACAAATAGCGACTTTAAGTCGCTATTTTTTATTTGAAAATGAATCACTTTGCTGCCATTCGCGCTCAATAAAACAGCTTGATAAAAATATTCGTTTTAGAACTTAAAAAAAGTTTTTTAGGGATTAAAAGCTGTGTGTATTTTTTTGTAATGACACTGCATGATTGATGGTAATTAGATTGTGAGAAAAACAGGATTCTTAAAAAATGTAATGACAAATGAATGTTGCGACAAAGTGTGTCGTTTAAGCAGAAAACAGCGCTTTCCTTCTCTTAAAAACTATACATAATGCAAAGCATAAGCTTCTATAAGGTGATTTAAGAAAAATTATAAAGCTTGAAATTGTTGTGAAACACCTATTTAAACGGTTTTTTTATAAGGCATCATTTTGACGGAGGTTGTTATGGTATCAACAACATTTGCAACATTGATTGGATTCGGTCTAATTGCTGCAGCGTTGGCTACCGTTTTCTTTTCCCCTTATCGTCATTGGTTAGGGTTTATGTTTGCAGGCATGATCTTCTGGGGCACCTTGGAAGCAATGCGTTATAGTGTACAGAACATCTTTGATATTTCGGTCGCATATAGCTATTTAACCGCGATTATGTTGGCGATGTCTGCATTGATTGCTCTCTTATTGCGTGAAGACAATCGTGCACAAAAAGCATTGGCAAATCGCCAATATATTGAACATACCCCAGTCTATGAAGATGAATAAGTTTTGAGTGAAAACTTCAGTCAATATGAACGCTAAGATAACAATAGTGACTTTAATTACACGAAAAAAATCAATTTAGACATTCCAAGGTATATCATAATGGTATACCTTTTTTTCAGTTTATACTTTGCTCTGAAAGCCATGTCTACGCAATGACAAGTTATGCTAGGATGAGCAAATTCGAATCTAATTTAAAAAACAACAGGCTTAAATGTCATGAAACTTTCTGCAATTCCAGTTGTGAAGTTACCAATCGTTGATGCAAGTACAGATCCACTGGATTTGCTTGTATTGGGTTTAGCACTTCGTATGAAACAATTGGCTCGTACCAGTCCAAAATTTATTGAATTGACCCATGACCGTCAGTTCCGTATTCAGATTGGTACCGACTTGGGCGTGGCACGCCAAATTATTGTGAACAATGGTCAAATTGATACAGTTTCAGGTGCTGAACAAAAAGCTGATTTTGTTTTACAGTTTGCTGACAGTGAGCAAGGTGTAAAAACTTTGGTAAAAGGCGATCCAACAGCTTTTATGACGGGTATGCAAAACGGCAGCATCAAAATGGAAGGCGATTTCAGTTTGTTGGTCTGGTTTAACCAAGTGGCTAAACTGATTCCACCAAAAGTTCCAAAACCAGTAAAAGATAAAATTAAATTGGCACGTCAATTCTTAAAAGAGAAGATTGGACGCTAAGCGAATCGAAAATCTTAAAAAGCCCGATCTGATCGGGCTTTTTAAGATTTAAACATTGGTATTAAGATCAAGCTTTTGATTATTCAGCTTTTAATTATTCAACTTCCAAGTTAAAGGTCACAGGCCCATCATTGACCAAATGCACTTTCATATCCGCTGCGAAAATACCCGTCTCAACATTTTTAAATTGTGATCGAGCATAATCAACCAATTGTTGATACAGTGCCTGGGCTTCAGCGGGCGGCATGGCTAGCCCAAAGTCTGGACGCAAGCCTTTTTGCGTTTGTGCCATTAAGGTGAATTGAGAGACCAATAAAATCCCGCCATTGGCTTGGCTGACGTTCCAGCCCATTTTGCCTTGTTCGTCATCAAAGAAACGATATTTCAAAATTTTATCAATTAATTTTTGACCTTTTTCAAAATTATCTTCCTTCGCTAAGCCTAGAAAAACCAAAATTCCTTTTTGAATTTCTCCCGTGGTTTCACCATCAACAACGACTTTGGCTTCTAACACTCTTTGTAATAATGCACGCATATAAACAATAAGACTAAAATACGATAGCGCTATTCTAACAGGGAAAACCCTGTAAGTTGATGCGAGTAGGCCATTGCTGAAAAGTTGAAGCTGTTAATAAGCTTTTGAATAAGAATAGAATTTATAAAATTATCATATGAGTAGATAAATTGAAAAAATAATTCTGCTGAGATTTATGTTGAGCTTAACTGAAAATATAGTTCATCACTTATAAATGATTACGTTATCTCAGTGAAAAATATGCTTTAATAAAAACAGCATAGCGAAATTAAAATAGATATGGCGCCAATCATCCAATCCTTGCTCGATACAGATTTATATAAATTTACCATGTTACAAGTGGTGCTACATAAATTTCCTCAAACGCACAGTGTGTATCACTTTCGCTGTCGTAATCTAGATGCTACGGTTTATCCCCTGACGGATATTCTGGATGATTTGAACGAGCAGCTCGATCATCTCTGCTTACTCAAATTCCAAGAAGATGAATTGCAATATTTACGCAGTATGCGTTTTATCAAAAGTGATTTTGTTGACTATTTAGAATTATTCCAACTCAAACGCCGTTTTATTAAAGCGGGTATTGATGAACAAGGTCGTTTAGACATTTGGGTTGAAGGCCCAATGGTTCAGGCGATGATGTTTGAAATTTTTGTTCTGGCGATTGTCAATGAACTCTATTTTAGCCGGATTCGTAATGATGACATTTATGTTGAAGGTGAACGTCGTCTACAAGCCAAAGTTGAATTATTAAAGAAATTTGAACAACAACAAGGCACTCAAGCTCCTCCATTTTTAGTCTCAGATTTTGGTACTCGTCGTCGTTATAGCCTAGATTGGCAAAGACATGTGATCCAGACCTTCCATGCAGCTGTACCCAATGTGTTTAGAGGTACCAGTAATGTCCTTTTGGCAAAGGAATTAAATATTCATCCAATTGGAACCATGGCGCATGAGTTTCTACAAGCATTCCAAGCGCTAGATGTCCGCTTAAGAGATTTTCAAAAAGCGGCTTTAGAAACCTGGGTACAAGAATATCGTGGTGATTTGGGCATTGCCTTGACCGATGTGGTCGGTATGGATGCATTCTTACAAGATTTTGATTTGTATTTTGCCAAGTTATTCGATGGCTTACGTCATGACAGTGGTGACCCATTTGAATGGGGCGATAAAGCTTATCAGCACTACCGAAAACTAAAAATTGATACTAAAACCAAGATGCTAACCTTTAGTGATGGATTAGATATTGAACGTGCATGGGCGTTGTATCAATACTTTAAAGATCGCTTTCAAGTTAGTTTTGGTATTGGTACCAATTTGACCAATGATATGGGGCAAACACCACTCAATATTGTGTTAAAACTGGTGGAGTGTAATGGTCAATCGGTGGCGAAAATTTCAGATAGTCCCGGAAAAACCATGACGGATAACGATACTTTCTTGGCTTACTTACGACAGGTCTTTGAAATACCTGAAGTTGTCGAAGCAGTGAAAATTGATATCTGAATTTTTGCTAAAAGAATGTGAAAAATCAGCATATTGGTAAAAAACACTGTGCTAAGATCATTTGTGCTCAAGGTCTTAAAATAGAAAAACGTATGACTACATCAGCCTTTAACTTCGAATTACTCATAGAAGCGGAACAACTTGTGCCATTTTTAGGGCATGACAAAATTCGTATTGTCGATCTAAGTCGTAGCTCTGTGTATGATCAATTACATATTCCACATGCCTTACATGTTAAACCACAACTGTTGGTTCGACAGGAAGAACAAGCTTCAGGGTTATTGCCTGATGAGGACGGTTTAAAAGCGCTGATTGAGTATTTAAACATCTCTCCCGAACATCATGTTGTGGTCTACGATGATGAAGGTGGTGCTTGGGCTGGACGTTTGATCTGGAACTTACATTGCCTTGGCTTTTATAATACCAGCCTACTCAATGGCGGAATTCATGCATGGTTGGCAGCAGGCTATCCGACTTCGGCTGAAGCGGAAAGTTTTAGCAAAGTTGAACCCTTAGTTACTGTCAATTTACAACATCTTGATCAACACCGAATTGAATATGCCAAACTGTTGCAAAAGGTTGAACAGCAAGCGATTCAAGTTTGGGATTGTCGAACTTCAGAAGAATATACGGGACAGCGTTTGGCAGCGCGACGCGGCGGTCACATTCCAAGTGCACAACATTTTGAATGGAGTACTGCAATTAATCGTCAAAATCATTTAAAATTGCATCCTCTAGAACGCACGCAACAACGTCTAGAACAATTAGGCTTTCAATTTGACCAGCCTGTGGTGGTGTACTGTCAGTCACATCATCGTTCTGGTCTGGCTTATATCTTGGGTCGGTTATTGGATTGGAATATTCAAGCCTATGATGGTGCGTGGAGCGAGTGGGGCAATCGCCTCGATAGTCCAATTATTACTGGAGAATCACCTGCGTGAGTCTTACATCAACGTTAAAAAAACAAATTTTTATCCAAGCACAAAAAGTCATTCCGCAACAGCAACTCAGCCGTGTTGTTGGTAAAGTTGCAGCCAGTGAAAATCCAATTGTTAAAAATTTAGCGATTCAAGCATTTAAAGCACAGTACGGGATAGACCTTTCTATTGCTGAGCAAAGTGATGCTTTAAAATATAAATCATTCAATGAATTTTTTACCCGTGCCCTAAAAGATGGTGTTCGAGAAATTGACGCAGATCAGACCAGTATTGTTTCTCCAGCAGATGGTGCAATTTCTCAGTTGGGTAAAATTAAAGATGGTGATGTATTTCAGGCCAAAGGCCAAAGTTTTTCTGTAGACAAACTGATTGGCGATCCGCAATTGGCTGCACCATTTATCAATGGTGAATTTGCCACGGTTTATTTGTCACCACGTGATTATCACCGTGTCCATATGCCATTTGCAGGAACGTTGACAGAAACCTTGTATATCCCTGGTGAGTTATTTTCTGTAAACCAAACGACAGCAGAGAATATTCCAGGTTTATTTGCGCGTAATGAGCGTATGGTATGTTTGTTTGATACCGAATTAGGACGTATGGCGGTTGTTCTCGTGGGTGCAATGATCGTTGCAGGAATTGAAACTGTGGTGACTGGTAAGGTAAAACCAACAGGGCGTTTAGAGTTAAACCAGCATGATTTAGCCTTAGAAAAGGGTGCTGAACTTGGACGTTTTTATTTAGGTTCAACCGCAGTTGTATTGTTTGAACAGAATAAAATCACTTGGGATGAACAGTTTAAAGCCAATTCTATTGTGGTGATGGGTGAAGCTTTAGGGCATACCGTTTAATTTGCGTGTTCTATGATGAGGTGCACTTTCTGTTGTAGAAAGTCACCGAGTCTAAAGCCTTATGGCATTGAAATAAGACAGCTTTAAAGCCTGTGCATCTGCTAAGGCATTGTGTGGATTTTCAGAGGGGACATGGGTTTCGATTGGATCCTGCATCCATAACTGCATGGTCAGCGGAGGTGTTTGGATACATTTTCCTGCAGAAAGTACCAGACTACGAGTAAACAAGGCAAAGTCTTCTGGCCAATCTGCCACAATTTCAAGACTTGTATATTGAGATAAATAAATCTGTAAGCGACTTTGAAATTGCGCTAAGGAAATCGGTTTTTGATTTAGACGAGGCATGACATGGTCTTTAACCCAAGTAATTGGGTCTGCGCATTCTAAAACTTCATAAAAATGTTGATTATTCTCGTCAACCAATGCCAGCGAAATTAATTCACCACCAAAGCCATTAAATTCACAATCTAGAAATAGTTTCATTCGAATTAATCAAAAAATCAAATATTAACCTGCAAAATCAAGGCGCTCTTTGGGGAAAACCACTCTAAAAATAGACCCCCGATTTTCTTTAGAATCAATTTCTAAATACGCATTATGTTGCATTAAAACATGCTTCACAATGGCAAGCCCTAAACCTGTTCCACCTGTTTGGCGGCTTCGTGCACTGTCTACGCGATAAAAGCGTTCGGTTAAACGTGGAATATGTTTTGGATCAATCCCGATCCCGGTATCTTCAACAGTGAAATAACCATGTTCACTGTCATCATGCCAGCCGATTGTAACTGTGCCACCTTTAGGGGTGTATTTAATCGCATTGGTGATTAAATTACTAAACGCACTGGCAAGCTCTGCATCAGAACCAATTAAGTCACAATGACTGTCAATATCTAAATTTAAAGTATGGCCATAATCGACATTGTAGGCTTGTGCATCATCAAAAAGTTGATTCATCAAATTTGGCATATCGATGATTTGATTTTTTGCGACCTGTTTATTGCCTTCTAAACGTGAAAGCAAGAGTAAGTCATTGACCAAGGCATTCATACGACGTGTTTGCGATTGCATCTGTTCAAAGGCACGTTTCCAGCGCGGATTTAAATCTTCTTGGTCGGTAAAGGTTTCGATATAACCACTGAGTACAGTCAGCGGGGTACGAAGTTCATGTGAAATATTGTCGACAAAGTCTTTGCGCATTTGTTCCAGATTATGTACACGTGTGACATCGTAAGCGACGAGCAAACGGCTTTCACTACCAAAACGTGTCAGTTTAATCTGTACATAATGCTCTTCATAAACCGAAGATTTTATTTTAATGCCATCTGGAGATTGGTCGATATTATTAAAATATTCAATAAAGCTCGGCTGGCGGATAATGGTCAAGATATTACGACCACGATCTAGCGGTTGAATGCCTAACAGTCTTTCCGCAGCAGGATTCCACCATTCAATTTGATGTAATTCATCCGTTAAAACAACAGCTTCTGCTAAAGCTATCAGTGAGGATTGCGCCCGATCAATCAATCCGACCATTTCAGCTTGAACAACCCGTTCTTGGCGTTGTGCACGATAAACATTAAAAAGCAGCGCACCCCAGATACCTTCTAGATTGGGTGGAGAGTCGTAAGGACGATTCGAAATCCACTCATTGACCAAGTATAAAGAGCGTAATTGAAACAGAAAAAAAACAGCAAAACCGATGGAAATACAAATCCAAAAATACCCTATCCCTAAACCAATAAATCCGCCGATAATGAGTAAAAAACCAAGTAGGCGTAAATCTTGTTTTGCAAATTCCCACAAGCTACTGTAACGGAATTTTTTATGTTCTCGTGCAAGATCTGGGACGGGGTAGGGTTCATACATAGAAATTTATTTACCTTGAGAATGCTTAACCTAAAGCAACATCTGCACGGGTAGAGAAGCGATAACCCGTTCCACGTACAGTTTGTACGTAGCGATCAGCACCATAAGGTTCAAGCACTTTACGTAAGCGGCGGATGTGTACATCTATGGTACGGTCTTCAATATACACGTTACCACCCCAGACTTGATCAAGTAACTGGGCACGTGTATAAGCACGTTCAGGATGTGTCATAAAGAATGCCAATAAGCGGTATTCTGTTGGACCCATTTCTAAAATATTATCACTAAAACTGACGCGTTGGCTCACTGGATCAAGTATTAATCCATTGGCATCAATGGTTTTTTCGCCACTGAGTGCATTGGCACGACGAAGGACAGCTTTGATACGCGAAACCAATTCACGGGTAGAGAATGGTTTGGTCATATAGTCATCTGCACCAGCATCAAGACCTTGAACTTTATGGTCTTCTTCGCCACGTGCTGTCAACATGATGACTGGAATTTCTGCCAAGTTTTCATCACGTTTTAAGCGACGACATAAGTCTACACCGCTCACACCGCCAGGCATCATCCAATCGAGTAAAATCAAAGATGGTCGTTGGTCAACAATCATTTGATGGGCTTGTTTTGCATCTTCAGCTTGCAGGCATTGAAAACCTGCCATATCCAATGAGGTATGAATCATTTCTCGAATCGGAAGTTCGTCATCGACGATTAATATATAGTCATCTTTCACAACGCAATATCCTATGTATGAACGGTGTACCGTCTTTTATTTATGACAGGCTTATTACAAAGATTAATTATGACAGTATCATTGCAAAAAGAAGATGTTGACGAATTTTTGCAAAAAAATGTGACAAATAATCGTCGATATGATGAATAATCCATGACATTTTTAAATAAATGTTCCATTTTGAGGAAAGAAATTTATTTAAAATGAACATAAAAATACGCTATTTGACAGTTTTATGACGATTTTATGACAGGATTGTGCAGGCTAAAAAGCTTATTTAGATGAAAATGAATCAATCAGCGATATAAATACAATTTCACATGCTGAGACAATTTCTTCAAGCGATTGTTTAAACCCACCCATGACCCAGCGCACCGCAATTTGAGTCACATAGCCATTTAAACCTGTGGCAACCAAGGAAATTTCTTGTTCACTACGTTCAATATGCGGCATCATCAGGGTGACAAAAGAGTGAATTAATCGATCAAAACGGCCCATCGTTTCATGGATCGTGGCATGATTATGCAGTTCTTGAACCAGCATGGCATCGATATAAATAATACGCGCCACACGTGGATCATTTTTTAACATGGTAAAGATTGCAGTTAAGCCACCACGGATCATATTTTTAGGATCAGGTGCTGCTTGCATGACCCCTTGCATCACGGTTTGTTGTAATTGTTCAATCAGTTGTAGAAAGATGACTTGGAACAGTTCTTCACTTTTTTTGAAGGACTCATAAAAATAACGTTCAGTTAGCTTGGCTTCATTACAAATATCTTTGACGGTGACAGAAAAAAAGCCATGCGTACCATAAGCTTCAATCCCTGCTTCGATCAACTTTTCTCGACGTGCAAGTTTCCGCTCAGATAAGGACATGCCTTTAAATTGACGCTCTTTGGCAGCTTTATTTATAGTTTTCTTTTCAGTGGAAAGTGGTTCATTCATTGTAAAAAATTACTCGTGTCATATTTGATTGTCACAAAGAAGCGCTTATTTTAGCAATAAAAGCCATTGAAACCTATTCTAGAATTTTTGTATAAAAAAACATCGGCTAAATCATAATATAATATTGACAATAATGATTGTCAAAATTATATTGAGCAAGTGAGCTGCACATCACTCTGAATGCTTTGTGCGGGTTTAAAAAAGGATAGACAATGAAAAATTTTAAAAACAAAGTCGCTGCAATTACTGGTGCTGGCTCTGGTATGGGACAACAACTTGCTATTTTATTGGCAAAAGCAGGTTGTCATTTATCCATTAGTGATGTGAATGAAAAAGGTTTAGCTGAAACCGTTGAACTGGTCAAACCATATAATGTTCGTGTGACCTCAAAGAAAGTGAACGTTGCCAAAGTTGAAGAAATGCGAGCTTGGGCTGCGGACACAGTGCAAAATCATGGTTCTGTAAACATGATTTTTAACAATGCTGGTGTGGCTTTAGGTTCTACCGTAGAAGGCGCATCTTATGACGAACTAGAATGGATTATGGATATCAATTTCTGGGGCGTTGTATACGGAACAAAAGAATTTTTGCCTTATATCAAAAAAACAGGTGATGGGCATATCATCAACATTTCGAGCTTGTTTGGTTTAACCGCGCAACCGACTCAATCTGCATATAATGCATCTAAATTTGCGGTACGTGGTTTTACTGAATCATTACGTCAAGAATTAGATATCGAAAAGTGCGGTGTATCGGCGCTATGTGTTCATCCAGGCGGTATTCGTACCAATATCGCAAATGATGCACGTATGAATGACAGCTTACGTTCTTTGGGGATGAACCCTGACAAATCAGCTAAAGCATTCAATAAACTATTACGTATGCCACCAGAAGATGCTGCTCAACAAATGTTGGATGCTGTACTGAAAGACAAACGTCGTTTGCTTATTGGGAATGATGCAAAAACTTTGGATTTAATTCAGCGTATTTTACCGACTGGATATCAAAAAATTACAGGTTTTGCGACCAAGTTTAGTAAAAAATTAGAACCAAAATAATTGATTTATAAAATGAAAAAACCGTCAAGCTGACGGTTTTTTTCATTTTAGACATTGTGAAATTATGCGCTGAATAACAACTTAATATCCATTCATTTAAATTAAGATCTCAATCGTTTTCTTTTTCCAAACAAATTGGTAATACAAACCTTGCATGAGACATAGACTGAAAAAGGTCAGTGCAAGCGCATACCAAATACCTTGTAAACCAAACCACTGACTAAATAAGTATGCACACGGAACTTCAATGAGCAGGATGGATAAAATATTAAAAATCATAGGAACAGTTACGGTTCCGCTGGCACGCATGATCGAGGCAAAAATTGCACTTGCACCAAAGAATATAATCGACCACAACACAATAAATAGTAATTGTTGACCCAATTCAATCACTGATGGATCTGTAATAAACAACGCCATCAAATATTTTGAACAAATATAGGCCAAGAGTACCAATGAACCTGTAATCACGATATTACTCAGCAGTGCCGTTCGCGTCACTTTTGCCAGTAGTTCAGACTTCCCAGCACCAATCGCTTGCGCCGCGAAGATGGAACCCGCAATCGCAATCGACAATGCAGGGAACTGAATATAGTTGAGCACTTGGTTGACTGCACCATATGCTGCTGTTGCATGTGCCCCATGTTGATTGACCAGTCCAATCACCACCAATCCTGCAACCGAGTTAGTCACCATTTGAATACCTGTCGGCACACCCAAGCGCAAAATACTGCGACTAAATTGTGGGTGATAGCGAATATGTTGGATTAACGCTGCATCAGGTCTTAAAGCATGGTCCTTTTTATTCAAATAGACATAAAGGAAAACTAAAGTTGAAATAAAGCCTAAGCCACTGGCAATTGCTGGAGCAATAATGCCGAGTTTAGGTAGACCAAAGTAACCGCCAATCAAGGCTGGAGTTACAATGACGCCCACAATGATCGTCAGACTTGATGCCATCAATGGTGTAGTACTGTCACCCACACCACGTAAAATAGAGGTGTAGGTGATGTAGATGAATAGAAAAGGACTACTCATTAGCATCCATTGAACATAGGGCAGTGCAAGATGCATGATTTTGGGATCTATCCCCAAAAGCAATAGAATTTCTTTGGCAAAAAATACCCCTAAAAAGGCAATGATTGATCCACCAATCAGGGTCATAAATAACAATGCGCCAACAATGGTACGCACTTTTTCGATATCTTTGGCGCCCCACGCTTGTCCAACCAAAACAGTTGCACCTGTAGATAGACCAATCACAAAAGCTAGCAATAAAAATAGAATCGGAAAAAATACCGAAATTGCGGCAATCGCTTCTACTCCGAGCATCTGCCCAACAAAAATGGTATTAATTGTTCCAGACAGATTTTGCAGAATATTGGTTAGAATCAGTGGGCCAAGGAAGATTAAAAAAACCTTCCAGAATTTGGGTTGGTGAAGCATATCGGGACGAGCTGGCATCTTTTATTCTACTGTCTATTTCGAGTGTCTTTATCTTATTGATAATATAACAAACGCTGAGTAAAAAGCCTGAGTATTTGAGTAACTCAGGCTTTAATTTTATAGAGATGATCTGTATGGATCGGGATTAAATTTGATTTAAAATTTCACAGGCCTGAATCAAAGTTTGTTCCTTTTTAGCAAAACAAAAACGCACTAAACGTAAGTTTTTAGGGGCTTGCTTATAAAAAACAGAAACTGGAATCGCCACAATTTTATGTTCTTCCGCTAAGAATTTACACATCTCTACATCATTTAAATCTGGGCGAATTTGGCTGTAGTCAACATTTTGAAAGAATGTGCCTTGAGAGGGGATTAAACTGAATTTTGAATCCGCAATACCTGAAATAAACAGGTCACGCTTTTGCTGATAAAAGCTTGATAATCCATCAATATGTTCAGGATGCTGTTGCATAAAATTGGCAAGTGCCATTTGTACGGGGGTTACCCCACAGAAGTTGGCAAATTGATAAATTTGACGAAATACTTTCATGAGCTCTGGCGTCGCAATGCAATAACCTGTTTTCCAACCCGTGACATGAAAGGTTTTACCAAAAGAACCGACTACAAAACTACGCTCTCTGAGCTCTGGAAATGACAATGCCGAATAATGTTTTTCGCCGTCATAAATCAGATGCTCATAGACTTCGTCTGAAAGCACAATAATATTTTTATCTTGAATCAGTTCAATTAAATTTAGCCAGTCTTGTTTAGACCAAATCGCCCCAGTTGGATTGTGTGGGGTATTTACAATCACCATACGGGTTTTATCTGTAATCGCAGATTTGACTTGATTCCAATCTACAGAAAACTCAGGCGCATTGAGTGGGATATGAATGGCTTTACCACCGACCAATTGCACGCTCGGAGCATAACTATCATAGCTTGGATCAAAAATAATCACTTCATCGTCTTGATGGATGATGGCTTGTATTACACTAAAAATCCCGATCGTTGCCCCCGGTGTGATGGTGATTTCTGTGACTGGATCAAGTTGTAATTGATCACGTTTTAAAAATAGTTGAGCCAGTTGTTCTCTTAGCGCTAATAAACCATCACCCGCTGCGTATTGGTTAAAACCGTCCAATGTAGCTTGGCTCAGTGCTTGTAGTAACGCTGGTGGTGCATCAAAGTCTGGAAAACCTTGAGATAAGTTAAGGGCGTTAAGACGATGTGCCATTGCGGTCATGATGCTAAAAATGGTGACGCCTTGAGCAGGGAGTTTGGAGTGGATTTCGATCATGACCAGACTGATTTTATAAATGCATTGGTGGCAGTTTAGCAGGTCGTTTTAATGAGCTGAATAGGATTAAGTAATCTATTGGTTAGGAGGAGGTGTACGGGAGGAGTTTAAGATTGAGAAAGTAAGACTTAGGGGGAAGTAATGTTTTGTTACTAAATATATTTGGGGAGTTGGGTTGGGATTTTGGCTTTATAGCTCGTATTGTATTGATAATGAGGGTAGTGTTTGACTTCGTATAACGGCCACTATGTTAAATGGTGAATAAAAAATGAATTTTCTGTTAAAAAATGATGTAGTATTTTGATTAATAATTTAATGAACTTTTTTCAGTAATTTTCTTAGAATATATAATTATAATTATGATTATCAGGACAAAAATTTGTATTAAATCATCTTTAATAAATCTAAATATTTGAAAGTAATTATTGAAATTATTAGAATATGGATACTTTAAATGAAAAAAATATCTTTATTAATCAGTGCTATACTTTTTATGCTAGGATGTGCTGAAAAAAAACTACCAGAACAAGGCCATTCTGGTCCGACTATTGATGTACAACAAAGTATTAAAGATACTCAAGCTATACAATCTGTGCATGATTCTTCTCAAGTAGATAATTCACAGAGCAATTCATCAGTAGCAAATATTGTAGAAGAGCCTAACGCTATAGGAAAAAATAATTCTTCAGATATTGAATCTAAAAAATAATAAAACTTTTAGTACAAATGCACTATCCCCCAATATTATTGAGCAATAATGACAATGAATAGAATAATTAAACTTATAATTGGCTTTCTAGTTAGTATATTTACTACTCTAGCCAGTGCAGCTTCAACACCAAATGGAGATGCTGTTTCCCAAGCATATGCGCTTAGCAAAACAGTGCAGACATCAGAACATGTGCCAGGCATTAGCTTACTAGGTGGACAAATACTACATAATCAACCTGTTCTATCAGGTAGACTACCTTATGTAATGTCTTATGTTGGTTCTGTTAGAAATAGTTTGTCTGCGTCTAATGATTATTTTGATCAATTCTTAACTACAGGTGGATGGACAGATAATTATCAAAATAGTGTCCGATTTTATAGTTATAACAATAGTTCAACGATTGGTTATTACGCCATTCGAGTTCCAGGTTCTAGAGAAGATATTTGGTTAAGTAATATTAATAGGTCTACATGCTCAGGTGGTGTACAACGAGGTTTTTCATCAGACGTTTTAGGGCGTCTTGCCTATGATAATGGGGCAAATATCGTCTGGGCTTGTTCAACAAATGGCTATCAATTTACAGAAAATTCTGGTGGTGGAATCACTATTAATTATAGAGGAACACTTTATAAAACAACATCAAATTCAATATCTCAATCTGGAACTGTATATTATCGAATAGCAAGTGTCAAAAGCCCACAAGGAGACCAATTAAATTTTACATACGATACTTCATTGAATATGCTAAGTGTGGCTGATAATAGAAATAATAAAATTGTTTTTTCAAGAAATTACACTGAAAAACGTTTAATCAGCCAAGTAGAGTTAATTAGTGGAATAGGCAATAAACAAGTTGGAACATTTACGTATGGTTCTTATAACAGCCAAGATGCCAATGGCAAGACGGGTTCAATTTATTATCCAATAATAATAAATTCAACAGCAATTGGTACTAAGACCTTTGAGTATACCCCCATTAAACAATGGGGAATAGATGGTTATCTAAGATTCAAAAAAATTTCAGTTTCTAATTCTAATGCTGCGATTTTAAAATCAATTAAAAATATTACTGGGCAGATACAAAGAGAATGGCTAGTTACACAAGATTATGCAACATATAATAGCGATACAAAAACATATGCCACAGCTCAAGTCACTTTACAAGTTCGTACGCCAATAAATGATAGTTTGATGAAGAGTTATGCACATGATTATACTGTTATTTATGATGATAATAATCGAAGCGTAAGCTTAAAGACTAAACCAAATGCTAATATATATGGAGAGGGAAGTGTTACTTATCAAATTTACCCTAAACCAGTATATAAAACTTCTGCTGAGGGGGTAAGTTATTACGATGATGGTGAAATCGAAATAATTGTTAGTGGTGAATATCCAGCTTTGACAGTTGATGGGCATGTTCCTTCAAATATGAGAATACACAGTTGGTATAACTATACTAAAAGCTTAGTATCCGTAAAAGATTTAATAATTACACAAACATTAGATACAAGCGGACGCCCAGATCAAATTAAATATAGAGTATATGGAAATACAACCATTCCTACTAAAACAATAACATATACTTATGACCCATTATCAAATGGAACTGAAAATCCATATTTAATACCAACAACCATAATTATAGGAAATATTACCACTACAAATATTATTAATAAAAATGGGCAAATTACTAAACAGTCACAAAGCTCTTCACAATCAGGAAGTACAACAAAAAGTATAGACTATACTTATTATTCTGATGCAACTCAGCCTAACTATGGGTTGGTAAATACAGTAGATGGTCCTAAAGTAGGAACAGGGGATAAAGTTACTTATACATATGATGATTTTGGTAACTTAACTAACCAATCTCAAAAAATAAACGGTGTTATACGAACAATATCTTATGTTGGATATAATAATTTTGCTCAACCAGAGCGTATAATTAACCCTAATGGTCTAGTTCAACTATTTAGTTATAATGCCGATGGTACTGTAAATACAGAAATAAATGGTCCAGGTGGAAGTACAGGTGCTATATCAGGACAAACAAAAAAGTATACATATAATAATTTAAAGCAAGTTGTTTCTGAAACAAGCCCTGATGGCGAGGTTACGTCATATTCATATGATTTAATAGGTAGATTATCTGTTATAAGATTACCAAATAAATCAACTATTGTTTATCATTACTCTGCGAATGGAATTATAGAGTCTGAAATATATTCTACTAGTAATAATAATGAAGTTTTAGTGAAAAATAATATTGTTGGTATAAATGGACGTATTGATAGGACATATAGTGGGTATGATAGGAATAAATTATATACTAATTACTACTATGATCGTAATGGTAACATTGAGAACAGTACTACAGTTGGTGGAATTAGTGAATATTGGGCATACGATGCTTTAAATCGTTTAAAAACACATACAGATGGTATGGGGAAAGTTGATACTAAAGATTATGATATAAATGATAATATTATTTCTGCTAAAGATGCATTGAATGCCGGAAGTTATCCACTGAGTTATCGCAATGGAAATGTACTAACTCAAGAAATAAATAGTGATTTTGGTATAAAGACATATGCATATAACGAAGCAGATCAACCTACTCAACGTATGCATGTCGATCGTAAATGTAACTATAATAGTATAGATGAAATTGGTCGTTATGGAGCTTTTGTATGCGCTTCAAACAGTGGAACAACGCCTAGTGAATATCAAGTTAATGACAATTACACGTATGACCAAAGCCGTTTTGGACGACTAGATAAGGTATCGAGTTCAGTCGAATATGATGTCAATACATACTACAGCTATGATGTATATGATCGTATTACTCAAAAAAGACAGGAAAATTTGTTGTGGTATGTTAGTGCAGAAAACAAAAATTTAACTGTGAATTATTCATATAGTCTAGGCGGTAAGCAGACAAGAACTACATTACCTTCTGGGCGTGTTATTGATTATAATTATAATTTGTCCGAAGGAACACTT